TTCGAGGGCGATCCTTGTTGTTCTTTATCTCCTTGTAGCGTTTAATTGCTTTGTTGGCGGTGCTTTTTGGATATTTCGTGATTTTTACAAGCTCCGGGCTATTTTTTCCGCCTTCGTATAATCCGAGAATCACATCGCGTCGTTTTTTGGCGTTCATTCTTACGAATTTTCTCCTAAAAAGAAAATTTTTGTAACAAATCACCTTGATTATACACGAAAAAGGGGAAAAAAAGTATACGAGACACAAAAAAAAGCGTGAGAGAAATTTTCTGCAATGTTTTCATAGCGGCTCCGAACTTTTGCCGCACCCTGTATAGCATTTCAACATTTCAACAACTTCCCTACTTTATTCAGTCTTATTCAGTCTTATTTATTGAATGAATCTCACAATCATTAAACTTTAATACCCAATGCAGGAGTCCTGAGCCTGGCTTCTGCTTATCTGCTTATCCCTACCGATCTGCTTAGGATCGGTAGGGTCCTCTGTGCTTCTGGGCCCAATGGTTAGAGCCCAATTTAAAGTACAGAGGCTAGAGCCTAGTTTGAACATTTTCTTGACTTCTTCCCGACCATTCTAACCTTTTTTCATAGTCATAATAGACTCATAATCATAGTCGAGTGCAATTAAAGTCAGTACAAGATCCGGTTGGGGACAATCCCTTGTTAGTAGAACTAGCAATAAAATTCAATTCAGCAATACGACTCTAAAGCCAAGGTTCAAAGTCCAAAGAAGGGAGCTGTGGGATCGACCACCACGTTTCTCCAATATATTGGGTACATGTGACCCGATGATCCTCTTCACTTCCCCATCTCTTCCCGATGATCCTCTACCCTTCCTCTTCCTTCCCCTCCTCTTCCTTCCCCTCCTCTTCCTTCCCCTCCTCTTCCTTCCCTTCCTTCCCTTCCTCTTCCCTCTCTTCCTCTTCTTTACCTTCCTCTTCCTTCCACAGCCTTTCCCTTCACTCTAGTCGATAGTCGGGTGGATACAGCGACCTTTCCCCTTTTCTAAAAAAATCTCCCAAACATATACACATTCTTTCTTCCTTTCTTTCCTTTCTTTCTTCCTTTCTTTCTTTTCTTTCTTCCTTTCTTCCCTTCTTTTCTCAATTATTTCTCTTATTTGGAGTGTCCTTGTTCTTTTCTCTTTTTCTGCTCACACCATCTGATCAGATATCGATTTTTTTTGTATTTGAACGGTTTTTTTGAATTGTTTTTAAAAATGTGTAAAAATTAACATTTAAAGAACATTCCATTCCGTTTGATTACTGATTTCAATATATAAATCAATTTCTTTACTTGAAAACTTTGAAATCAAGAATTTCTAGAGAACTTTGAGAATTAGAATTAGAAAATTCACTGATTTCCAGTTGATTTCTTATAAATTCTTATAAAATAAAGGAATTCAGTTATTTCGTTGCTTGTAGAATCCTGCTAGAATTCTTGTCTGCTAGAATTCTTGTCTGCTAGAGTACTTGTTCTTTGTGCACAAGATGAATCATCAAATGTAAGAGAATGTAAGCGAAAAAGCAGAAGAAATTATGTTTTCATCATTTCCTTTTAGTTTTCACGTTTCTATAAGATTTTTCTTTAAAAACCCAATGTTTTTTTGTCATTCCATCCCGTTTGGAGGGATTTTTTCGATACTCAATTAATTCTTTGGCCTTTTGGGAGGAAATGGGAAAAAGTGGATATTAATGGGGGAAACGAGGCGGGGGGAAAGCCACCACAGCTGACTCTTTCCCCAAGTTTATCAAATTGCTTTGATTCCGGAACATGCTGTACTTTGAACCTTTGATTAAAAGAAGTTTTGCCGTACTTTAAACCTTTGAATCTTTAAGTTGTGGCTTTGGACTTTGCCCTGAGTAGATTGGATTTGAAATAGAAGTAGAAAACGGTTTTTATGTGTATTAGCGATATGGATAGTGATTGAATACAAGAAAATTGGCTTAAGATCAGTAAAAGTTGGCAGGAAACTGGCTTGCTTTCTATTTAGCACTATCAAATCTGTTAGGCTATTAACTAACAGACTACAACAGACAACAAGCTACAGTATAACAACTGTACAAGCTACAGTATAACAACAGACAACAAGCTACAGTATAACAACTGTACAGTAATCTAAAGCGTACACAAAGTACGTTTTGGCTTACTTAACAATAACCTTTCTAGAGCCACACCCTTTCTAGAGCTTTGATTCCCTAATTGAAATAACTTTTTCATTTCCAAATTCCCCTTGAATCTTTGCACACTCCGAAAAGCTCTCTGCACCCAGTAAAATGGGGTTATCAGTAGAGAGTGAGCTGCCATAAAAAAAAAACGAAGCGCGTGACTGAAAAAAAGTCAGCTCTTTTTCAAAAAAAAAAAAAGGCAGTGATGGATAAAGTGTAGCTGTGATTTTGAGCTTAAAAAGCTAGATAAGTTTTGTCTGATAGATAAGTTTTTTGCTAAATTCGAAAGTCAAGTGTTCTATTTAAAGTGTTCTTCCAAAAAAAGCCAAAGAAAAGCCAGATTCCCGATTCTTTTCCTCAAAAAAAGCTCGTCTCCAAAATTCTTTGGGGAAACTTCCGCACTCTTCTCTTCTCTTCTCTTCAACTTCAGCTCTTCAGCTCTCAGCTCTCAGCCTAAGCCTTCAGCCAAGATTCTTTTCCTTTTAAAAGCCAACAAAGAGTTTATAGTTCAATAAAAGTTCAATTTTTAATCACAAATCCATTTGGATGATCGAACTTTTCACTAATTTCTTTGAAATCTCTCATTTTTTTCTTTAAATCACATGATTTTTCATAAAAATGAACGAAAAATTTCATTTTTTTAAGTGAAAAGACCTTGACGTAACCAAAAAGATAAATAAAAGAAACTTTCCTTTGCTTTGCCTTGCTTTCCTTTCCTTTGCTTTGCTTTGCTTTGTTTTCCTTTGCTTTGCTTTGCTTTGCGTTGCTTTGCTTTGCTTTCCTTTGCTTTGCTTTGCTTTGCTTGCTTTGCTTTGCTTTGCTAGAAATTTGACTCGATTTAGCTTTAATTTAAAGCTTTAAAAATTAGCTTTAACTGAATCTGGATAAATTTGACTGGATTTGAATGGAATTTAGCTAGATTTGACCGGATTTTGCTAGATTTAACTGAAATTTAGCTAGATTTAACTGGATTTGACTAAATTTAACTGGAATTTTGCTAGATTTCACTGGAATTTAGCTAGATTTGACCGGATTTGAATAAATTTAACTGAATTTAGCTAGATTTCACTGAATTTGACTAGATTTCACTGAATTTAGCTAGATTTGACTGAATTTTGCTAGATTTGACCGGATTTTGCTGGATTTAACTGGAATTTAGCTAGATTTGACCGGATTTTGCTAGATTTCGCTGAATTTAGCTAGATTTCACTGAATTTAGCTAGATTTGACTGAATTTGACTAAATTTAACTGGAATTTAGCTAGATTTGACCGGATTTGACTAAATTTAACTGGAATTTAGCTAGATTTCACTGGATTTGGCTAGATTTAACTGAAATTTTGCTAAATTTCACTGAATTTAGCTTACCGTATTTACTCTATTAGTGGGGTCCTCTCTAATAGTGGGGTCGTCTGGAGGGGGGTTGAAAAAATAGTGGGGTCCTCTCTAATATTGGTAACGAAAGTGATACATCAATTGTTGATCTCTTGGATTAGTTCTTTTACTGTTTGTTAATGTTTTATTACGGTTAAAGCTAAATAAAATATGAAGCCAAACTTGTTTTGTCAAGAATTTCGGAGAAAAATTGATATCTTTTCAATTTAAAACTTTGGTTTTATGTTCTTTTAAATTTCTCTAATAGTGGGGTCGTCTGGAAGGGGATTGAAAAAATAGTGGGGGACCCCACTAATAGAGTAAATACGGTAATTATAGCTTAAACATAACTATTTTTTTACTAAATTTAAATAAACCAAACCCAAATCTGCCTTTTGCCCTAGCTTGGCTTTGGAAATTGCTTTAAGCCAGAGTAGAATTGTTCTAAAGAAATTATTTAGCCAGAAGCAAGGATCTGATCTGCCTTTTTATCTGGCTTCGAGCTTTTTATCTGGCTTTTATCTGGCTTTTATCTGGCTCTTGACTTGGCTAGTCAAGAAAAACCTCAGTTTTGACTTAGCCATTTTAGAAGAGCCAGTTTAACAGAACCAGTTTTGACTTAACCAGTCAAAAAAGTCAGCTTTTACTTGTCTTGTCCTCATTTATCCGATCTGTAAGCTTTCCTCTTGCTTTCTTTTATTCTCTTCTTGATTTATTCCTTTGTTTCTTGTTTTTCTGGTTTGCTAAAAACATTTATTTTGTTTCAAATTCTTTGAAATTCTTTTAAATGCATCCAAATGCATCCAAATTCATCCAAATTCTTTCAAATTCTTTCAAATTCTTTTAAATTCTTTTAAATTCATCCAAATTCATCCAAATTCTTTTAAATTCCTTCAAATTCCTTCAAATTCATCCAAATTCTTCCAAATTCTTTCAAATTCTTCTAAATTCTTTTAAATTCTTTCAAATTCTTTTAAATTCATCCAAATTCTTCCAAATTCATCCAAATTCTTTCAAATTCTTTTAAATTCTTCTAAATTCTTCCAAATTCCTCCAAATCCTTCCAAATTCATCCCAATTCTTCCAAATTCTTTCAAATTCTTTCAAATTCATCCAAATTTCCCAATTTCCCAAACATTTCCCATTTCAGACTTTACTCTCTTATCAAATATTAAATGAAAAACAATCTCTCCTATTGCTTTGCCACAAACAATTCCTCTGCTCATCTTTCCCACAAATTTCCATGTGATTTCCACGCTTAAAAATGAAATTTTTTTTGCAGAGATTGAATGTGTTGAAGGAAAAGAAGAGAGGAAAAGAAGAGAAACTTTGAACCGATCCTGATAACAAATCAAAAAGAAGGAAGGAAAGGGAAAGGAGAAGAAACACGAGTTCATCAGCTCTCTTATCTTCTAGTGAACCCAATTCTTCCCTGTCATAGTTAAAAATGGTCTCTAAAATGAATCCGTGAGTTTTCAAAAGTTAAATTTTGATTTTTTTCTTTAATCTTTAACTGAATAGGTTTAAGTGAAAGTAATTTGATTTTAACTTTTACTCTAAGGAATTTGACGCTAAATGGACTCTAAGCTGAGTCTAAATTGATTCTAAACTGACTGTCAGCAATGAACTGAGCCATTATTTGAGCCAAGCAAGCCAAGTCTGTAGGCAGCCAGCCAGCCAGCCAGCCAGCCTGTAGCTAACCAGCCTGTAGCTAACCAGACTGTAGCCAGTCAGCTTGTAGCCAGTCAGCTTGTAGCCAGCCAGCCTTAACCTAGCCAGCCTTAACCTAGCCAGCCTTAACCTAGCCAGCCCTAGCCAGCCTCAGCCTAGCCAGCCTTAACCTAGCCAGCCTTAACCTAGCCAGCCTTAACCTAGCCAGCCTCAGCCTAGCCAGCCCTAGCCAGCCTCAGCCTAGCCAGCCTTAACCTAGCCAGCCTCAGCCTAGCCAGCCTTAGCCTAGCCAGCTTTAACCTAGCCAGCCTTAGCCTAGCCAGCCTTAACCTAGCCAACCTTAACCTAGTCAGCCTCAGCCTAGCCAGCCCTAGCCAACCTTAACCTAGCCAACCTTAGCTACAAACTTTGACTGAATAACTTTGTTTAAATAATTGGACTCCACTATTTGAATATTAGTTTAGTTTAGTAATAGCTTAGTTTAGTTTAGTTTAGTTTAGTAATAGTTTAGTTTAGTAATAGTTTAGCTTAGTAATAGCTAAAAAAATAGCATTCAAATATTCAATTATAATCCTAATCTCTTTTTTAAAAGCTATTTTAATCTTAATTTCAGAAATTATCATTAATTTCTAAACATTTCCTTCATCAATCGCATTTATTTCATCATTTACTTCAAATCTAATTGTTAAAAAGAAATGAGACATATCAGAATACGGTAATGAGACAATAAATTGAATATCTTTATTGTCGTATTCAATTTATTGTCTATTATCGTATTCTAAGCTTTTTAAAGTCATTTGGATCGACAAATTTCTTTTTAAACAATTTTTATTTAGAATGTACGCCTTGAAAAGCGCTCGTCCTCTTCAAAAAGCGTTAGCCGTTGATTGGCAGGTTTGTTTTTTCTTATTTCTACTATAATATAATTAATAGATAAAGAGTACGATACTTTACAATATACATCAAATTTAGGACGGTTTCTCGTCGAAATTCTCATATGTTTGGTTGCGAGACAATGGCCATCGCCGTCCATCACTCATTCATCTTGATCTCAACACAAAGCCTGAGGTAAATTCGAGTCCATTCCATTCTAGATCGATTCCAGTCCATTCTAGATCAATTCCAGTCCATTCTAGATCGATTCCATTCCATTCTAGATCTAGAATTGAATCGATTCGATAGCTTAAACCAAAGCAAATATTAGAATATTAGAACTAGAATCTAGAATTCCAGAATCTAGAATCTAGAATACAATATTCCAGGAAGTTGACTGCCAAAACGGTGTTGTTCACATCACTTGGCCTCCATTCCTCAACTCGCTTTACTCTTCGCAATTCCTTCGTGATCACGCAAAAGTCAAGCCGATCCATTCGACGACATGTCCAGTCACAAAAAATGTTTGTTATGTTAGCAAGACAATGGTCAATAGAGTTATTGTAATCTGAATCCATAGCTGAAGCTCGACGGCTGAAGCTGAAGCTTGACGGCTGAAGCTCAACAGCTGAAGCTCGACGGCTAAAGCTCAACGGCTAAAGCTCAACAGCTAAAGCTCAACAGCTAAGGCTCAACAGCTAAAGCTCAACAGCTAAAGCTAAAGCTCGACAGCTGAAGCTGATTACTCTAAGCCAGTTACTAGTCTTAGATTAGATACAGCAGATTTAGAGACCAAGGTAAAGTTTGTTAAATTCATGTTGACAATCGTCTTTAGGTGTTAACAGTTCCATGGCGAGTCGAGCGCAGAAGAGGAGATGATAACTCGAGTATGGCGACAACATCGTGGAAAGATCGACACGTAGAACACGGCACTATTTGGCCACATATGATTCGAGTGAGTTGTCTAATATCTCAGTGAAATCTTGGTACTTTTCTAGCAAATTTCGAATATCTACCGTAAATACTGTAATAGTACCGCACACGCATAATGACGGCCGGAGCATCGCGTAGTCTAGCTTTGAACGAGTTTTTCTCGACACTGGTTTAAGCTACAATGCTCGTTTAGGTATCAAAAAATAGCCCTGAGGCTCAGGGCTATTTTTTGATACCTAAACGAGCATTGTAGCATAAACCAGTGTCGAGAAACACTCGTTCAAAGCTAGACTACGCGATGCTCCGCACCGTCATTATGCGCGTGGGGTACTATTACAGTATTTATGGTAGATCTTTCTTATAATACTTTTATTTAAGTTGAATTCTCTATTCTCTAGGTCCCCTCAATTGTCACTGTTGATACTGATTGGGCGGGTGCTCGAGTAAATCTCGTGGACGCTGTTCAATGTCTTTCAGGTAATAAATTAGAGCTAAATGCTTTTTTTAAAATAAATCCAATACAATCTAAATGTTTAGAAATGTCTTTACGATACCCGGAAGAGTTCGGATTCTTGCGTAAATCGTTTGTCGAGTACGAGAGTGCGCTGTTTAAAGCAGCGCATCCAGTGATGAACGTCGAGCACAATCGAATTGTATCCGTGAGTTTTTAGCTAACAAACACTATCTTATTTAAAGATTAGATTAGATTAGATATTGGACTAGATATTGGGTTAGATATTGGATTAGATATTAGATTAGATATTAGATTACTGTTTAACTCTAGATCTAAACGAATATCTTTTCCAGGTTTGCTTTAACAACTCGATGCGATCCCCTGAAATCACCACCGAATCGATCGACGCTTATTATACGAGTTTGAAGATATTTAATAGAGTAAGTTTTCAGAAAACTTATATATCTTAGAACTAGATCTAAATCTCTTCAATCTAGATCTAAATCTCTTAAATCTGCTGTACTATGACGTATTAGGACGGACTAGAACGTACTAGGACGGACTAGAACGTACTAGGACGGACTAGGACGTACTAGGACGTATTAGGACGGACTAGGGCGTACTAGGACGTATTAGGACGTACTAGGACGTACTAGGACGTATTAGAACGGACTAGGACGTACTAGGACGGACTAGGAAGGACTAGGACGGACTAGGACGTACTACGACGTGCTATGACGTAATAGGACGTACTATGACGTAATAGGACGTACTAGGACGGACTAGGACGTACTAGGATGGACTATGACGTACTAGGACGTACCAGGACGGACTAGGACGTACTATGACGTACTAGGACGTACTAGGATCGTACTAGGACGTACTAGGATGTCCTAGTACGTCCTAGTACGTACTATACGTCCTAAGACGTCCTAGGACGTACTACGACGTATCTTTAATCTTTAAATCTTTAAATTTAAACCAAATCAACACCAAAAAATAAACACTGTTAACGACTACGCGAGTTAACGCTCAAAATGGGTGAATGTATTAAGATCTAGGATTCCTGTAAGAGGATACGATTACTATAAGATAGCAATGTTCTTTCAGATTTGCTGTGAACATTTGCACACGATCACCCTCAACCCAAACGAGCTTCTCGTCATCGACAACTCACAAACCCTTGTCGGCGCTCCACCACAAAATGGCCGAAAGCTCAATCTGAAGATCTACGATTGAGTTAACAGTTGAAATTATATTCAAATTTGTTCTAATCAATCTAATTGTTCTATCTAATCTTATTCTAATCAATAACGTGTTTTCTTAACTCTAGAATTTGAATAGGCAAGGAATTGGAAGATTCAAAGTTTCCAGATCTTTCTATTCTTTTTGTTTCAGATCAGAAAAGTTTCTCTATCTTTGTAAGCTTTGTAAGCTTTGTACAATGTACAGCAGTACTATGTACAATGTACAACAGTGCTATGTACAATGTACAATGAAGACTGTAGTTTTATAGCCTAGTACTAAAGAAATACAGGGTGCGGCAAAAGTTTCGAGCTTCTTAAGATAGTTAAAGGTTTAAAAACTAGCTTTAAAAAGTTAAAAATTAATAACAAACTCTTTATTCGAATCATAGCAACAAATAACTTATAACAAATGCTCGAAATTTCCACCACCCGCTTTGATACACCTCTTTAAACGCTTTGGGAAGTTCTTCACGATGGTGGAGCACGCTTAAACGCTTAAAGCTTGAGCGAAATTTTCTGCAATGTTTTCATAGCGGCTCCGAACTTTTGCCGCACCCTGTACAGTATTAAAGAAGTACTATAGAAGTACTAAAGAAGTACTGAAGAAGTACTGAAGAAGTACTGAAGAAGTACTGAAGAAGTACTGAAGAGTACTAAAGAAGTACTGAAGAAGTACTGAAGAAGTACTAAAGAAGTACTGAAGAAGTACATAGCCAAGACATCTCCAGGATCCACAAAGCTGAAGACAAAAGATCTAAAAACAAGCTAAAAAGCTGAATAGCTACAAAAGTGAATACAAAAGACTTCTAAATATCTATTTTTATCTATCTATCTATCTCGGGCTTAGGCTCAGGCCTGAGATAGATAGATTGATAGCTTTGTACTATGTACAATGATAGATACAACAGTACTACCTAAGCCTAAGCCTGAGCCTGAGCCTGAGCCTGAGCCTGAGCCTGAGCCTGAGCCTGAGCCTGAGCCTGAGCCTGAGCCTGAGCCTGAGCCTGAGCCTAAGCCTGAGCCTGAGCCTGAGCCTATCTATCTATCTATCAAATAAAATTCTAAAAGAAAACACGGTTCTATGTGCTATTTATTCTAGTTTCTTATGTAATCTGTGTCATTTTTTACTTTAAGTCTTTAAATTTTTATTAATAGGTATTTTAAAGTCATTTTCCTCAGGATTTGAGGCCTTATTCTTTAGATATTTTCGAATTTAACTGCTTTTTCTTTTCAAAAATCCACTTATCCTTTGTGAAGGCCAATCATTTACGGGTCATTTCTATTCTTGACTAGTTTACTTTCGATTTGAGTGTGATGTAAATGTGTTTGTTTTTCTTGTTGTTATTTCTCGCCTTTCATATTAAATAAAAAGTACAAATTAAAAGGATTTATAGAAAAAAAACAATCAAGAATCATAGAAAAATATATTAAAAAACAATTCATTTTCATTAAAACAATCAAAAAACAAAAGTGTGATGCAAAAAATTTTAAAAAAAACAGATGCTAGCTGGTTTAGTTACTCAAGAGAAACAAAAATGATGTAAGAATTGAAGATGGAAAAGTGAGAGAACATCGCTAACAGATCCATCTTCTATTCAATTAAGAATTACAATTAAGCGAACAGGAAGTTCAAGTTCTAGAGTTCTAGAGTTCGTAAGTCTAAGTCAAAGCCAAGCCAAAGCCAGGCCAAAGCTAGGCCAAAGCTAGGCCAAAGCCAAGCCAAAGCTAGGTCAAAACCAAGCCAAAGCCAGGCCAAAGCCAGGCCAAATCCAGGCCAAATCCAGGCCAAAGCCAAGCCAAAGCCAGGCCAAATCCAGACCAGGCCATAATAAGTTCTAACCAGGTTTTGGCCTGGATTTTGGTCTTTCCTAGCCTTTTCTGGTCTGGTTTTGAACCCTTAAACCAACCTGAAACCATTACTTTACTGAAACCATTACTTTATCATCTAGATCTGATAACAAAATGTAAGTTCTGTACGAAAATGAAAGGTGTTCTTTGGGTGGTCACGTAATCGCTCATCGTCTGGCGCAGGGCTTTTGCTTAAGAGGAGCTTTTTCCATCTTTTCCGTTTTTCCCTCTTCTCCTCAGCAATTTGACCCATCTACCAATTTCAAACTTTATCTTTTCCTCCGGCAAAATCCCGTCATTTTTCCGTTGTTCCCGTTTTGAAGCCTTAAACCAAAGCCGGTTTTGAAACTACTTTAACTTACTTTACTACTTAATCTAGATCTGATAGTAAAGTAACTAGACAAGATCTATCTAGATCTGATAGTAAAGTAGCTCCGGGTCTGAACTAGGCAGAGTTTAAAAGTAGTTAGTATATTATGTTGGAAAGAAAGTTCTCGGCAAAAGTTTGATTGGAATTTCTTCAAAAACGAATCCATCAATTCAAGAAGATTTTCAAGACCAAATCTGAAGAAATCTCTTTGTCAAAAACTTTATAGTTTATAAAGTTTATAAAAAAATCTGGAAGAATTGGTTTGGCTTTTGAGAAATCAATGAGAAATCACCGTGCAAACTTTTTCTACGAACTTTCTTGCCAACCTTTCTTGTCACTTCCTTGCCAACCTTTCTTGCCACCTTCTTGCCAACCTTTCTTCCCACCTTCTTGCCAATATCTAATCTAATATCTATCATCAATTGGTTTCAAATTAATCAAATCGTGCAAACTTCTATAAACATTTTTTACCAATCTAATAGTAAACATGAAAGAGAAGACTGACAGTCCCCTTTCCCCGTGCATTCCTATCTCCCCAGGCGAATTCCCGTGTTGATTCGGTTCGATTTCTTTCTCTTCTTCCTCTTCCCGATCCTTTCCCTAAAGGTTCTCCTAATTCCGAACCTTTCTTCTCCTTTCCTTTTTCTCTTTTCATACACAAACATTCGTTTCTTCCTGCATTCATGGTACGTTTTCATATCGATTTTTTTTTGATCAGCTGGTTCTTATCAATGTTTTTAGATCGAGCACTTTTCACAGAAACGAATCGATGGTAGGTTTGATAGAGATTCGATAAATGATTGGGTTAAGTAATCAGAAGAAAGGTTTGTAAGGCTGTAAGGCAAGGCTGTAAGGCTGTAAGGCAAGGCTGTAAGGCTGTAAGGCTGTAAGGTAAGGCTGTAAGGCAAGGCTGTAAGGCAAGGCTGTAAGGCTGTAAAGCTGTAAGGCTGTAAAGCTGTAAGGCTGTAAAGCTGTAAAGCTGTAAAGCTGTAAAGCTGTAAGGCTTGTAAGGCTTGTAAGGCTGTAAGACTGTAAGACTGTAAGACTGTAAGGCTGCAAGGCTAAGGCTGTAAGGCTGTAAGGCCTTATAAGCCTAGCCAGGTAGGATCAGAAGTCGAACTAGGACCTGAACTGGCCTAGCACGCATTACTTAGGTCAGCTAAAGCTAGCAATAATGCAAAACAGCTCGAATTTTGACTCTATTCAATTACAATTACAATTACATAATGACTTAAAAAGAAAAGAATGCAAAAAAGATTGCAAAAAAGATTGCATAAAGAAGATTCAGCTGTACAGGTGAAAGCTGGGGGTTTTTGGTGATTGCAAATCGATTAGAGCTATTGCTATGGCTATGGAACTCATTTTATCGAATTTTTATCAAAGATCAAAGATCAAAGCTTTGAATTTTCAGAGATCCGTGAATGTTTTAACTTGTACAGTGATAACGGCTTTGTGAACAGTTCATCTCAGCTGCGATGCATTTTGAGGTGATTTTAAGCGGAAATCGATAAACGTGAAGTCCCTTTTCAGAAGTCTCGGCTACGCTCCAACACAACAACGAATCAATGAACACTATAGAAAATATAAAAGTTAGTTGCTTGATCGATTTAACTATTAAATCTATGTCTAAAAATAGTTTGCAACTATTTAGGGCAATCTATTGATTTCGCAGTGTTGTTGGAGATTGCCGCAATTGAGGCACAAGCAGGAGATCCACTGGTTGAGGTGATCAAAGCATTGAGAGGTTTGATCTTTCATCTTAATCTTTCAGAAATACAGCGTCATAAGTATTATCGCGTAGTTAAACACGTGTTACTTCACGAGATTAGCTCCACGAGTTTCAAATCTTCTAAATAACATATCAAAATATTGCTAAGAGACTAGGGTGATGCAAAAGAAACTGCCGATTTGACGGTAAATTAAAAAAAAGATCGTACTCGATGGTGACATGATCACAATGGCATATTTTCGTAAGATTTCGAGCAGATTGGCATAGATTGGCCTGAATAACGTCCCTTAGCTTGGCTTCGTTCACGACTTTTGGCCTCGAACCTTCGGGCCTTGGGGTTGGAACAGCACGTTCGCCGGCGCTCAGCCACTGTCGTTCTCGCGTTGTCGTATGCAATCCACTTGTCGTATGCAATCCATTTCTCATCCGATGTCACGATAGAATCAAGAAATCCGCTATTCTTTGCACGATTCAGGAGAATGCCAGCGATGGAAATGCGGGATGCGAGGTTAGCATCACTGAGTTGATGAAATAAATAGCAAACAAATATGCGAATAAAACATGAAAAAATAATGCCGTTAGCATCGCTCGTTTCTGATAAATGAGAGCTGATACCCATCGGCTGTTTCTTTTGCACCACCCTAATAAATATATGCATAAATTTCTTCGTAATAAAATCTTTTACAGTCATTTTCTTAGAAATTTATGCATATATTTAGATTCCCTAGTCTCTTAGCAACATTTTGATATGTTATTTATAAGATTTGGAATAAAGCTCGAGGAGTAACACGCTTTTAAGTACGCGACAATACTTATTAGCTAAGGCTTATTAGCTAAGGCAAAATTATCTGGACAACTTTTTGGAAAAGGCTCGCAGGCTTAATTTATTTCAAAGTATCAAGTGTTATGTAGAGAATTGTAGGCCTTAATCTTGGCTACATTTATCTACTAAAAACTTTCCAATTGGATGCATACAGCTCATTTAACAAGTCATTGAATGCACTAGTCGATCTCTATTGCGATTTTTGATGATTTTTTACAGATTCTGTTATATATTAGTTGTTTGATTGCTATGAAATTTTTGGAAATCATTTTTTCAATCAACAATTTCAATTGACTTATTATTTAGGACTCGATCGTGAAGGGAAACAATCGATTCGAGTGGATGAGCTCACCAATATTCTCTCGTCGATCGGTGAACGAATGAACAAGGTTTGTGGGGGGAAATAAAGAACTTTTCTTGAAATTTATTGAACATTATTGCACTATTGCACTATTGCACGTACTGTTAGTTCTATTATATTATGTTAGTGTTAGAAAAGTGTTAGAAAGTGTAGTGATTATTGTTGTTTTAGATATAATCTTTATTACAAAAATAATAGTTGGTTCAGTGGTTTGATTGGGAGAGTAGAGACACTCCACGGCAGCTCGTTCACATTGCTTTTATACGGAACTCAGGCGTTCGTCTCGTCTTGCACACAATGGAGTTGAACGGATAGCGACGCATATTAAATCTCGCACAATAGGCGTTCGTCCACATAGGTGTCTAGCTGACCATTTCCATACGTGGCTATCTCGATCACGAGATCGTCACCACAGAAAGCTTCTTTCAACTCCAAGAATTGAACCAATTGCAGGCAGAGATCGAATCAACTCTATCGCAAATTTCCGTTAATGGGATCGTTCCACATCAAAAGTTGATTCAAATGATTTCCCGGCCAAATCCGCTTGCAAATGGGGGAAGAGTTTAAAGGATTTTGGAATTTGTTTAATAAAGTATTTTAAAATGTTCACTACCGCACACCACTTTGATCAAAGCTGAAGATCTTGACATTCTTTTGATCCAAGTAGAGATATTCATAAAGATTTGATAACAAATTGTTAATAACAATCACTCAAACAAACAAAAACTTGTTTTCTATTCTCTCTTCTTTCTTCTGTTCTTCTTCTTCTTGCTCCTGGAAAGCTCCTTTAAAGCTCCTTTAAAGCTCCTTTAAAGCTCCTTTATAGTTCCTATTTAGTTCCTTTAAAGCTCCTTGAAAGCTCCTTTAAGGCTCCTTTAAAGTTCCTTTATAGTTCCTATTTAGTTCCTTTAAAGCTCTTCTCCGCCATTTCTGTGCATTCTATAGCGTGGCTAAAATTTGAAGTTTGCAAGGGGAAGTTTAGATTAAAATTTCTCATTTTAATGCCAAATTTTCTAGATCCGGGTTTGAAAAATTGAAAATACGAAAACAAGTCCTTTTTTTGCAGTGAGTCATCATTTGTTTTGAAATAAGTTGCTAGGGAACTGCCAAAATCTCTCCAAAAAGGCTTTTAGCAAAGGTATAGCTTGTAGTCATTCTGATGCAATGTTTGCATAGCTTGTAGTCATTCTGACCCTTTCTTTATTTATCTTTTTCTTTTGTTTGCCTCATTCTTATTTTATGGTTTAGTATTTATATTTTAGATAATAGTCAAGAAAATGGCCGACGAGCAAGAAGTTGGTGCTGACGGAGAGAAGAAATTGAGCAAAAAGGAGCTAAACAAGTTGGCGAAGAAGGCGAAAAAGATGGAGCTGCAGGAACAGGTTTGGGGCTTTGATTTTGTTAGTTGGTGAGCTGTTTAATAAGCTTTTATGGGGGTGGGACAAATGCGACCTTTTTTTCGCGCAGCTGGACATTTGCGCACCTTTTTTTGCTGGAAAAGGCCTTAGGAAAAGCCGTAGAGCTTCAAAAATGTTTTCATAGGAGGGAATCGTATGCGTAGATTCAGAATTTTGACAAATCAGACCTCGCTGACACGTCAAATTTGGGCTAAAAGGCAAAAACTACGCAACTTAACAAAAACTACGCAACTTTTCCGCATATTAAACATATGCTTATTAAACTATTAATACTGCTTATTAAACAGCTCACAGCTCTGGAATTTTAAAGTTTTGATCGTTAATAACGTTAGATAATAATGAAATCTCGTGGAAATTCTGAAAAAAAACAAGTCACTATTGAGGTTTGTTCAGAAAAACAAGCTTTTACTATGAGGCTTTAATGTATTTCTTTTGTTACACCTAGATATTAGGTTGGTCTATAGTTTTCTTAACAAACTATGTCTCTATAGTTTCTTTTGTAAATATCTAAGTGCTAACATTTACGAATTCTTTTTTATTAGGTTGATGAATAAGTCTTTTCGTTCCTTTTCGTACTTTTCTTGAAAAATAACAAATTCATCAATTAGCCTATGGTTTGCTCTAAATAAAAAGTGTTTATTGTTCAATTCCATCTTTTAGGTCAATTTTTGGTACACTTTCAAGCAAATTCGAGGGTGAAAACACGTATTTTTCATAAAAATCTACAAAAACCTCTATGAAGAAATTGGCTGAATAAATTTCTCTGAAAATTAGGCTATATATCTAACCTTTTGTTCCCTATCTTTTATCTACAGACACGAAGATTAGGTTTCCTTAGCTAAAGTGTTTAAACCGCATCATCGAGCCGTCGCCCTTTTTGACTACCCGACTTCACGCGCCCAAAAAAATCCAGAAACAAGCCATTTAAAATCTGTTTTAATGTTATTTTGCAGAAAAAGAATTGACCTTTTTTAATGAAACAAACCGTAGTTTAATTGGTGCATTTGTTGGTTTTAAACGAAAGTACGAAAAGAAACGAAAAAACGTATTCACCAACTTAATAGAAGACCGATTCGACGAAGAAAGAGGGTGGCGACAACGAAGAGGACGCAAGCGTTGGATGCTATGGGACGTATGGATTGATTCAATCGGGAGACCAAAAGGATATCGTCTTCACCGAATTGATGAACATCAACAAAGAGTTGGATGGGAAAGAGGTTAGAGAATTTCTGAATTCAATTTACAACATTGAAGTAGTTTATGTAAAAATCGTATGTTTAATGAACTGTATTTATCTATACTTCTTTAGTATTTGGGGGTAACGATTTCGCCAAACTTCAACCCACAATTTAAACGCTTTTTTGTGATAGATTTTGAAAAACTCAAAAACTACAAAGCCTAAGCTACCTAATAATGCTTTAAAATCAAAATTAGACAAGTTTAAGATAACTAGATCAGTGACACAAGGTTGGCAAAATCGATATAGTAAAGAAGTATCTATTTATCTGAATATTTTAGATCTGGATTCGCGGTCGCATCCACGCAACTCGTTCAAAAGGAAACTCGTGTTTCATCGTTATCCGACATCGAGTTCATACTGCGCAGGTATTTTTTTTGTTTCCAGTCAAGTTACATCAGATTTAGCTTGCGCTGTTCAAAAGTGAGCAAGTCAGCAAACAGATGATCAAGTTCGTGGCTTCTATTCCAAAGGTTTGTAGTTAAACAAAGCCATTTTATGATTGTTTTAAGGAATCGATTATTGACGTCAAAGCAAAAGTCCTTGTTGCCGAACAAGAAGTCGCCGCGTGCACTCAAAAGGATATGGAATTACATGGACTTCAGGTTAGTTATGAAATGGATAAGATTAAGTATCATAAAAATAGGTCTTGCTGTTCAGAGTTTGAGATTTTAAGAAAAAGAGACTTTAGGTATTTGTGGTGTCGGCGTCCGAGCAAAGACTTCCCCTACAAATTGAAGACGCTTCTCGCGGGGAAAACGATCCTTCTGGGCTTGCAGTAGTTAACCTCGACACTCGTCTTGATAACAGGTATGATTTTGTTTTGGATTGATATAAATCAATCTTTTTAGAGTGCTTGACTTGCGAACGCCAACCACTCAAGCAATCTTCCGGATTCAAGATGGTGTTTGTTTCCATTTTCGCTCAATCCTTCGCAAACGTGGATTCACTGGTTTGAGTATTTTGTTGTTTTTAAAGACTTTAGGTATATTTAGAAATTCATACACCGAAGATCATCTCGGCTGCTTCGGAGGGAGGAGCTAACGTGTTCACGGTTGGTTTTACTTAAAATAGGCAAAAAGTTAGTTGAGTTTTTGGAATGATTTTAATTTGAAGATTATCTTTAAAATCAATTGCCTGTTTTTTAGGTCAGCTACTTTAAAGGAAACGCTTATTTGGCTCAATCACCTCAACTCTACAAACAAATGGCGATCGCTGGTGACTTCGATAAAGTTTGTGTGAAAGGATAATCAGTGTTAAGAGCTTTTTAGGTTTATACAATTGGAGGCGTTTTTCGAGCTGAAGATTCCAACACTCATCGTCACATGACTGAATTTGTTGGACTTGATTTGGAGATGGCTTTCAAATTCCACTATCATGAGGTAAAATTAAACTAAATACTTGTTAAAGGAGTAAAAGAGTTAGTACATGGATTGCAATTTTAATGGGAAATTTAAAGTTCTAAAAAATACGCTAATAACCATTGAATTTTTTAGGTTCTTCAAACTATCGGCGACGTTTTGATCAATGTCTTCAAAGGATTGCAACAAGAGTACGCACATGAGGTATTTTGGAGATTAACAATATTAGCAGCCAACTTTTTAGATCGAGGCTGTTCGCCAACAATATCCTGCTGAGCCCTTCGAATTTTGCGAGCCGGCTCTTGTGTTAAAGTAAGTATTTTAGGTGATTGCATAGTCACTTTAATATAGATTTTATTTTTCATTTTTGCTTCTTCAAAGCTTAAACTATAAATTTTAGGTATGCTGATGCGGTGAAGCTTTTGAGGGAACATGGTACAGAGATTGGTGATGAAGATGACCTCTCGACGCCGGTTGAGAAATTTTTGGGTAGTTAATCTATAGTAAATGTTTCTATTTTTAAATTTAGGTAAGCTTGTCAAGGAGAAGTACAAGACCGACTTCTACATTCTTGACAAATTCCCATTGGCTGTGCGTCCTTTCTACACAATGCCCGATCCGCATGACAAGCGATACTCGAACAGCTACGATATGTTTATGAGAGGTTAGTATTTTTATATTCCTGGGTCGACTTAGCTTCGTTATTTTAAATTTTGCTTTTTAGGAGAAGAAATTCTTTCTGGAGCTCAACGTATCCACGATCCGGAGTACCTCATCGAGCGTGCCAAGCATCACAAAGTCGAGTTGAGTCAAATTCAGGTAATTTGATTACACTTGATCGTTAAGGTTGTTTCATTTTAGGCTTACATTGACTCGTTCCGTTATGGATGTCCTCCTCACGCTGGTGGTGGAATTGGTCGGTTCTAAGTTTTGCTTTGAATTAAACTGTTTAAAAATGATCAAATATTTAGTTTGGGTTCTTCTATTCTATTTTATCAGTATTACAATTTTTCATTTCAGGACTCGAGCGTGTGACAATGCTTTTCTTGGGTCTACACAACATTCGATTGGCCTCGCTCTTCCCGCGTGATCCCAAGCGCATTACACCATAAAAGTCGCATTACACCATTAATCGCTGTTTATTGTCACTTTAAAGCTTTTATATCTTGTCACATCTTTTTTGATTTAGGCAAACATTTTCTGAAACGACTTTGTGTTGTTTATCTGCTTGCCTTGTAGAATTTACTCTCTATTCTTTAGCAAAACAATTTTGAGTAAGTTATCTTGTGATCATTTGTTAAATATTTGCGCATTTAACGTTTGTTATTTGTTTTTCTTTTGTTTAGAATAAAGCTCCAAAATTCTAAAATAACATTGAGTGGGTGTTCTTTGACAAATTATCGCAATGGGTGTCGAAATGTGAGCGATCAAATGCTTTTTGATATCAATTCATCAAAAAGTGGGCGAAGTTTATCGAGGGTTTGTCACGGACATGTTAGGGAAGAATTTGCGGGTGAGAATGAGCAGATCGTTCGATTTTATCGCGAGAGATCGTTTTTTTTCTGCTTTCGCCCCGACTTCCGGTGACAAAAGATGGATTGAGAGCAAAATGTGCTATTCCGGGTACGGTCCGGTCAGGTGCTTTGAATATACGGTAGATATGCTATAATTTGGAAGTAAAAATCAAGTGAAAACCTTTCAGAGGCTTTTTCCCCCTTGAAGTCACTTTGTTTTTCAAAGCCGAAAGGGAAAACGTTCTTTAAAGTCTTCGATTTATAAAGTTCTTCCCGAAATAGAATTTGCGCAAATCGCCGCAAAAATGATTCACAAATTTGATTTCATTTTGGTGGGTGGAGAAACGCCCGAATTTTGTAATTGGGCCGGTTCTCGCCTTGAAAAATGACGTGATTGCAAACAGTGGATGAACTCTGAAAGATCGACGAACTTTTTCAATCAAAAGATGGCTGCGAAAGGGTGGGGATTTTCTGAACTCATTTGCTCATTTGACGTCAAGCTTTTCTTTTCATTTTCCTTTTCCTTTGTGTTTTGAGAGAAAGTTGAATGAGTTACGAAATAGGGAAATTTGTTCGATTACAGGATTTTCTCAATCCTACTAACCAACAGCCTTAAATTTTAAAGATATTTTAAATTTGGTTTCTCAAATTTAGCTAACTGCAATTTTTGAGCTCATCTTTACTTTACTAGACCCGAAATTTTCGAACTCGGATGTTCGTTTGACGTCAAAATTCATCTCATCCATATCTCTAATCATAAATGGAAATGGGAATGACAAATTTGGAGAAATTGAGGAGAAAAAGAGAACATCAATCATAAATCATCGAATCTACTATAGAAAATGAGATTTAAAAAGGTGTTTATGAATATAAATGGTATTGTTATTTAGTGAATCAAGTGAAATATCAACTATTTTTTTCGAATCTATAAAAGATCTAGAGCTATTTACGGAATTCTTAAAGTGTTCATTTGAAAAATATCCTTTTTCTAAGCCTTTTTGGAATTGAAACGAGCAATAAGCTTTTACTTTTAGCAATAAGGATTTACTTTGGATATTTTCTTGATTCAAACAAACAATACCTGGCACACTGTTATAAAAACATTAAAAAGCTATTCAGTTAGGCTTATGAGCTAATTTTTACTTTTTTCAAATCCTTCTCTATCACATGAAGATCATGATTTCATTTTTTTCCAGCTCTCATCATTTCTCTCATTTTCAGCCACACAGACTATAAAGACTTTTTTTTAGATGATCAAATTAAATTACATTTGTTGATTTGTGATTTGTGGAGATTTTGTGATGATTGCTACTCTAACTGATCACAATTGAACAGTTAGAAAAGGGATTGGTTGGTTAAGGATTGGTTAAGGATTGGTTGAGGATCGGTTAAGGATTGGTTGAGGATTGGCTAAGGATTGGTTGAGGATCGGTTGAGGATTGGCTAAGGATTGGTTAAGGATTGGTTGAGGATTGGTTGAGGATCGGTTGAGGATTGGCTAAGGATTGGTTGAGGATTGGTTGAGGATTGGCTAAGGATTGGTTGAGGATTAGTTAAGGATTGGTTGAGGATTGGTTGAGGATTGGCTAAGGATTGGTTAAGGATTGGTTGAGGATTGGTTAAGGATCTGGTTTTGTTCTGGTTTCTAGATCTGGATTGTTCTGGATTTAAACCTTGGCTTTTAGTCTAATCAACCTCATATCAAAGGACTTTATTACGTAAATCGACTTGGAACCTTATTGGAGCCATTTATAGGACGAGATGTAGAACCATATTGGAACCATATTGGAGAGCTTTGCCTCACTGAGCTTTGCCTCACTGAGCTTTGCCTCACTGAGCTTTGACTCACTGAGCTTTGACTCACTGAGCTTTGACTCACTGAGCTTTGACTCACTGAGCTTTGACTCACTGAGCTTTGACTCACTGAGCTTTGACTCACTGAGCTTTGACTCACTGAGCTTTGACTCACTGAGCTTTGACTCACTGAGCTTTGACTCACTGAGCTTTGACTCAACCACGTCAAACCATTGTCTCCTTTCGAATCTTCAGCAAATTCTTAAACCAAAAAATTTATTCATTGTCTTTTTATCTTTATCATTTCATTGACTCATTCGCTTGTCTCTTTTCTTTTCTCACAATTTTCAATCTTGAACTAGCTTGAAGAGGGAAAAATTCCGGAATTTATCTCAAGCACACAAATTTTGTCAAGAGCCTCTTCTCTTTCGCTTTTCTCCAAACATTATCCACAAATTACCGGATTTTCTCGTGTAAGCTTTATGTTTACAACTCAAAGGAAAGGTTTTTAAAAGGTTTTTAGAGATTTTTTTTCATTTCTGAAGTAGATGAAAGGGTTTTTTTCGGTATTCTTTCAGTTCTGAACCAGTTTTCTCACAGCATTCTTGACTTTTCAGCTTGTTTTCCTTTCCCTTTGCTCATTTGGTTCAAGATTTGTTTAATGGAATTTAATGGAAATTTGATAAAAATCTAGGCTCATTTCATTTTCATTATAATTAATTTCATTTATTTGAAATTTGATGGGGGTGGGACAAATGCGACCTTTTTTTTTGCGCACCTGGACATTTGCGCACCTTTTTTTTGCTGGAAAAGGCCTTAGGCAAGGCCGTAGAGCTTCGAAAATATTTCCATATAAGGGAATCGTATGCGTAGATTCCGAATTTCGACAAATCAGACCTCGCTGACACGTCAAATTTGGGCTAAAAGGCAAAAACTGCGGAAAAGCGTTAAGTTGCGTATGAATTTTTGAAAACTTCTATGAAAACATTTTTGAAGCTCTACGACTTTTCCTAAGGCCTTTTCCAGCAAAAAAAAAGGTGCGCAAATGTCCAGGTGCGCAAAAAAAAGGTCGCATTTGTCCCACCCCCAAATTTGATGCTTAAAATTTTGCTCAATTTGCCGTGTAATGCTCAAAATGTAAACACACCATTCCTAACGCACAATGGATACAGTAGCCGTTACAATAGTTACAGTAGCCCTTACAATAGTTATAGTAACTCTTACAATAGTTACAGTAACCCTTACAATAGCTGCAGTAGCTCTTACAATAGTTGCAGTAAACGCAGCTACAGTAGCCCTTACAATAGTTACAGTAAACAGTACCCTAGCAGCTATAGTACCCTAGCATTTACAGTAAATCCTAAAGCATCTATAGTCGCCTATACAATTGCTAGTAATCCGGCAGTATCTACAATGAGAGCTGGATTAGAACGCTGAAACATTGACAGCTAGATTGAGTGCGTCAGAAAGAAAGTGTTTACATTTTCCAACATCGAGCACCGATAAAAGAATACAGAACTATCAATTTCCAAGAATAGGATCTCTATTCTTCATTTACAAGAACCTTTTCTTCTATTTTTCATTTTCTAGAACCATTTGACAAGCAAGTGCTCTATTTCTCTATTTCAATTCCTTTATTTCTCTATTTCAAGTGCTCTATTTCCTCTAGACAAGCAAGTCCTCTATTTCTTCATTTCCGATTCAAATTTATCCACCAAACTCGTGATATTTCTTCTAAAAATATCTTCAAACGTCAATTGTCAGCAAATCAGCAATTAACGTCAGCAATCAGCTTGTTTTTCCATATTTTTTCGAATGTTCTGAGCAATCGTTGAAAAGTTTCTGTAAAAGAGAAGTTTTTTTTGAGAGAATTCGGGGATCCGCCCTTGCTGAGTTTTAAAAAAGAAAAGAAATTCGGCGCAAAAAAGCGGCAGGAATGTTTTTTCTTTCAAAGATCACTTTCATTTGATCATCTATTTGAAAATCATTTGAGAATCTATTTTCATTAACCTTCCGTATATTTATATCTATATATAACATCTATAAATGTGTCTACATATCATAATCTACTATTGCCAAGTGTCTGTCTGTCCGCCCGGCCAAGAACTCAGCTCCTACTGAATCAATTTACATAATTTTTTCTTTATTAGATAGACAATTTTATAATTAGTTATGCATCTTAGCCATTAACTTTTAAAAAAAAATCTCGGCACACACGGGAACCGAACCCGGATTGTGTGGGGTAGAGACGGTCGCGCTACCCACTGCGCCATAGATGCATGAGGACCGCGATCGAAAATTTGCGTTTTATCAGGAATTTCTCTTTTCTTTCTGTTATTCGATTAATATTTGGCTTTTATTGGAGATTTCTCTTTTCTTTTAAGTTATTCAATTAATAGGTTGAATATTTTTAAGGAAATAGTTGTTAATAAATCGCTGGGATTGGGGAAATATTGGAGTAGGCTATTTTCGCAATTTTTTTTGCCCAACTCGCCATAACTTTCTTCTAAGTCGGCCAATCTTTATGATTTTGGTGTCATTTTGTAGATCTCAATGAGTGCAACAAAATGCTACCAAAATCATAAAGATTGGTCCACTTAGAAGAAAGTTATGGCGAGAGAAGAGAGTTGCGGGTTGCGCAAATGACTGCAAAAGATTGCGGAAATTAGTCTACCCCTTATACAGCCATTTTCTTCATTTAGAAACTTTTTTCTATTCATTGTTGACATATTTTTGTAAATTCTTCTCAATCCTTACAGGCTTTACATCATTTTATCGAAATCGCATCATTTTCTGACTTGTTTTCTTTCAATAACTTTGCTTTCAATAACTTTTCAATAACTATTTGTCTTTTTCCTGAACAACAATCCAATTTGACTCTTCCTTTTCTGCAATAAAGCCTGCAAAAGCTTAAAGATTCATGTTTTTATCAAAATCTTTGACTATTTATTGTCTAAACTTTTAGATAAATCAAATAATCATTTGAAATTAGAAGAAGAGTCTTTATTTCTTTATTTCTTTATACTTTAGACAAAGCAGCCAAGACAAACGGACAAGACAAAGCAGCCAAGACAAAGCAGACAAGTCAAAGCAGCCAAGACAAAGCAGCCAAGACAAACGGACAAGACAAAGCAGACAAGTCAAAGCAGACAAGACAAAGCAGCCAAGACAAAGCAGCCAAGACAAAGCAGACAAGACAAGGCTGAGAGACTCAATCAGTTGGGTAGGTATCCCCATACCTCCGAGGTCATTGCTATTGCTATCGGCATTTTCTGGATAATCGCTAGAAAGAACAAGGCTAACTCTTGATATTTCGATATGTAAATAGATTTTGAACAATATTTAAGTCGCAAATATCTCAATTTGTTTATTCAACAATTGTTGATCATTGAAATCATTGAAATCTTTCCTCCAGTCATTTCCCCGTCATTCTTTTGCTCAATTCCTTGTCTATTTTTCATTTTAATATATTTTAAAATCTATTTCTATTGTTATTCAATATTTTTCAGCAAAAAAAACAATGGCTTTTCAATTTATTCGAAAACTTTCATTTCACCGTAAACATTTTACTTCAGAAGAGAAGGTTTGTTGGATAAAAAGTGGCTGAAAACAAAGCAGAACGACTTTAAAGTTGAATACAATTTTAAATTGCAGTTAAGAAAGAGTTCCGCAGCAAGTTCTTCATCAACTGGATCAAATGGAATCTCAAATCAATCATTTCTCCCAAAAATCCCTCCCAATATGCTATTATTGATCTTGGATCGATTATCTTTCTTTCAACAAATCAAATTACGATCACTCAATTCAGCGATGAAGAAACATTTCGATGATAGAATTGAGCAGGTTTCATTTTGAAATTATTTGAAATTTGAACTAGGGAAGATCAAAAAGGCAGATTAAAAAGTCATCGGCGGGACTCGAACCCGGGACCTTTCGCTTAGGAAGCAGCCGTGCTAACCATTACACCACAAGGCTTTCGATCTCCCTCGCTCCAGGGGAGTTAAGTTCCCTCCTCTCTGGACAGAGAGGTTCCACACTTCTCGATTTTATGTTAGGAGACGCTCGAAAGTACCTTAGAGTACCCATTGCAGAGTCTTTCCTCCTGTGGTCTTTCCTTGCAGAGTCTTTCCTCCTGTGGTGCTCGAAAGTACCCATTGCAGAGTCTTTCCTCCTGTGGTTACCAATTGAAATTAAGGCAGATCAAAAACTTGTGCACTGCCGGGACTCGAACCCGGGACCTTTCGCTTAGTAAGCAGCTGTGCTAACCATTACACCACAACGCATTCGATCTCCCCGCTCCAGGGGGAGTTAAGTTCCCTCCTCTCTGGACAGAGAGGTTTCAAACGATACTTATTCCACTCTAAATCAAGCGCAGATTCCCGTAATTCATTTACCAAAAGATTTACCATTCATTTACCATCTAATTGTAAATAAAGATCAAACCCAACGATAAACCTTGGATTACGGTAAGTCGGGAACATTTTAAAGTGACTATCGTACCTTTTCCGACCTTTTAGCTACCTTTTTCGATCTTTTAGCTACCTTTTTCATCAAGATAAGTGAACGTAATCCTTTTGTAAACCGAAAAAGAAAAACGGTAGCTTTTCTTGACGTATTTACAGCTAGCTCTTGATATCATTTATAGATTTCCTCTATTTTAGATTACTCGCCTCGTTGTCTCAAAGAAAAGCCTGTCTTATTGTAATGATTCAAGTTGGGAAAAGCATAGAAGCGCGCAAATCGCTATTCGAATCAACGGGAATTCGGCGGAAATCGTTGTTGATGAGAAGTAAGTATTTAAAGGAAATTAGCATTTAAACTATTTAGAAATCTGTATTAGATTTAGATTTGAATTGTTTTTCTTTAGATGGACATCTCGGGATATCGAATGCGTTGTGGGATTGATGGGAGTATTCCGGAAAACCCTTCACAATGTCATCATCGATGCACCGATTGCTGAACTGGTAATTTGTTTGGATTTTATTCAAATAATAGAATCGTTTAATCATTTAACAAAGAAAACAAGGTAAATAAATCTTTAAGCGAAATATTTCTTTAATATTTCTTTAAAGAAAGATTCCTCTTTAATTCATTTAGTTTAAAGATACTAGTAAAAATTGACTCAGCTTACTAGTAAGTACTAGTAAAGCAAAGCTTGGCTTGTACTTTGACGACGCCATCTGGACTCTTATAGACGCCTTGTACTTGTAAGACTTACAAGACTGCTTGTAAGACCTAGATCCACCAGAAACTAAGCGTTTAGAAGGGCACAAAGTACAGAGCTTATTGAACAGTTTAATATGAAAACTATTCAGTTAATCGTCTCATTATCTCCATTGGATTTGCAACGATGGTACGCTTTCCAATGCTATATGAAAGTGCACAATGTATTTGAGTGAGTTTTTTCAGTCAAACTGACAGCTTTATACAGTTTTATACAGTTTTTATATAGTTTTTATATGGTTTTATATAGCTTTATATAGTCTTATATAGTTTTATATGGTTTTATATGGTTTTTATATAGTTTTATATGGTTTTATATGGTTTTTATATAGTTTTATATAGTTTTTCTACAGTTTTTATATAGTTTTTATATAGTTTTCTCCAGTTTTTATATAGTTTTATATGGTTTTATATGGTTTTTATACAGTTTTTATATAGTTTTATATAGTTTTTCTACAGTTTTATATAGTTTTTATATGTTTTATACAGTTTTCTACAGTTCTATACTAATTCTATACTAAAAAAAATCGTAAAATCTCTTTTTAAAGTGATGTAGAAGACGAGGAACAGCATGTAATCGTGGCGGGTACATCAGCGAATCCCACTGAAGTCTATTGGCCTAATGTTGAATCGTTGACGGTGAAAACCACTCGACAACAGAGTCCACATTTGGCTAGGTATTTGGCTTTATGTTAAATGATCAGAAAAAAAACCCCCGCTTAACACCAAAGCGTGGGTTGTATCACCATAGTGTAGTCAGGAGCGGGTTTGTTTACGGTTCACACAACGCGGGTTCGACTCCCCATAGTGCCACTCTTTAACTTTATCTCTTCATATATATTATATTATATTATAAAGCACAATTATCTTATATTTTATGAACTGTAAAGAGTTTTTTTTTTGACTCAAAGATGATAGAGTACAGAGGGACAGTGTTTTTTTTATATAGAATCGATTTTAAAACTCATTAAGTCGATAAGTGTACTGTGGTCAGGCTAAACTATCTAATAATTCAATAAAACAGTAATCTCAATGCCATAAACTTTCTAGAATCCTCGACTACGGTGTTGTGGTGAATCATGTGCTGAATCGGAGGCAACTCTCACATATTAAAGTCATTTACACAGATGTGCAACAAAATTTCAAAGGTTTTCATTCGCTTTCTTTTCTAAGCACTATAAATGATTAGATCTTTGAATAATGATTTTAATTTTAGGTTATTTTCCAATATCGGGGGAGCGGAAGGATTATCGGGGGAGCGAAAGGAAAATCGGGGGAGCAAATTTTGGCAGCGCTACATAGGTCCTATTTAAAATTGTGACGAACGGGAGCTTGCTTTGTTGCAAAAAGTTATCGACTCGAATTCCTCTTGAATGCTTGGGGACCTTTCGCCGTGCGCAAGTGTCACATACCCAGCGAAATAGATCTTTTCCCTTTGAGCGGACTTTCATCGATTCGCCACATTTGCAAATCCACGACTGGATGGACTCCTTTGGTGACGAAATAATCGATTGTCGTCGATTTCTTGACGCACAAATATCGCAGAAGCGCATCGTCGTTAAAGTTTTTAAAAAAAACGTTGCCGTTAAAATACAGTCCCGGAAATGCATTTTTTGAGGGGACAAAATTTGCTCCCCCGATTTTCCTTTCGCTCCCCCGATATTGGAAAAGTACCTAATTTTATATATGATTTTATAAATTTTATCATATCACTTTTTAGCACTTGCCCGAAACGTGTTTCCATTTCGTTGTTGGGCCGGTTCGGCTGGTTTTGATCATCGTTTCGATCAAGAATTTGCTGGGAAAACATTAAAGAGTTTATAAAATTAAATTCTTTAAAACTTTATAAAACATCTAAAATAAAGAAATCTCTGTAGATATATTTATATTTTTTTTTTAAAGTTTGCTGTGAATTTTTTAAAAATTAAACTTTAAACATGACCTACTTTGTGCATGCTTTTAAACGCTCACTTTCTGGCATAAAGATTGGAAAATTGTAGTCGAGAAAACGTAGTTGACAAAAAGGAATTCATTGTGCGAGAAAGTGAGTGTTTTAGGGGGAGCACAAAGTACATATCAAATGTTGAAGCGTGCATACAAATGAGTGCTTTATTTCTGTGCTTTCTATTCTTTCTCGGAAAATTGATTCATTTGCAACAATTTTCAAATGAGGAACAGCTTTTCAATAAAACTGTCTTTAGTGAAGAAACAATGTGTTATCATGAGAAAAACTACAGTCCACAAAGTACAGTTACAGTACCCGGTTGTCTCAAAATTGTCTCACAACGTTTCCAATGCTATTAAAGCTTAAAAAGGCACAGAAAAAACGAAATTTCGTAGAAAATCACAGTTTTTCTTATGAAATTAGAGAGAATGTGTAGATTTTAAAAGAAAAATATCCCGAGTACGGTACTTTAAGCCCAAACAAAATGGTGATGTTTTAGAAAAACGGAAATAGCGTCAATGATTTAGCCTTTTAAAGGAATATCTTAGAATTCTGGGTGTCAGTCTAGGCTTTTCTAGAGTTGATCGGTGTGATAAACAGCCCGGACACATTTCTCTTTCGAATGGAAGAACACTGGGCGCACGGGTGGGATCACTTCGACCCGGGGACTCGCACCCTCTTGCCATGAGACCTGGAATGGTCAGTTTTCTGGAAAAATGGAGAACAACGGCTAAATACAGATTTGGTTCCTTTTCTCTACAGATTTGGTTCCTTTTCTCTACAGATTGGGCTGCTTTCTCTACAGATTTGGTTCCTTTTCTCTACAGCTTAACAAATCCGAGCTTTACATTGAATAGAATGAAATTCAAATTCCCGAACGAACCCTGTCGACACCGGAGTTGTGTTCCCGGATCGTGTCCAGTGTTAAATCGATGAGAGTTCGATTGGCGAACTGAATATTCGTGCGGCTAAACGTGGTTTGTGATTAGTGAAGAGGGCGGAATGTTGATCTGCTTTACAGTAACCGTTACAGCAACGTTACAGTTACAGTACATGTTCACTTTCTCGACTACCGTAATCTTGGCTCAGTAATCTTGGATCTTATCCAATTTCTTCGCGGGATAAACAGCAAAAGTATCATCAGATTTAACCTTGGCCTGGACTGCCTAGCTTCTATCCTGGATCTAATATGACTTACAGGCCTAGGACCCGATTCGAAACGGCTCTGGAAAAGAGGCCAAGCTGTTACTATGATGCTAAGTACTGATAGAAGTGCTGGCTGTGATACAGGTCTGAGCTGATAGGCTGAGCTAACAGTTCTGAGCTGACAGGCCAACCCTACCCACTGAGCAGGTTAGCAAGGTTACAATGAACATTCATTCATTCAAAATGCTCTAAAGTATTGCTTTTGTCTGTTTATTTGAAACACTCACTTCTCCTCTTGCATAATTCCATGTGAAACGATTCGCTCGCAAATTTTCTCATTGAGTTTCGCCGAGAAAAGCGGAATCCCAAAAGTGACATCGATGACGACAAGAGAATCACTGAAATAAGGGCTTTATGAATATTGCTGATAGACAATTCAACAAATTTCAAGCTAACTTTTATCTTTCTTAGCATAAACAACTTTTACTTTCATTTCTTATGAAGTAGAAAAACTTGCATATCATTCTCATCCGGTTGATTGTTGTTGAGTGGTAAAGCGGCCAGGGTCAAGTATCCGCACATTTTGTCCAACGAGAGTGCCTCGCGCAATTTCGCAACGCACGGATGCTTGGTGTAATCTATGATTTCTATGATTCCTATGACTTCTATAATTTTATGATTTCTATGATTTCTATGATTTCTACAATTTCTAGAATTTCTATGAATTTCTATGTCTTCTATATATTCCGCTGAATTCTGAGAACTCTAGATGTCACTCACCTTTTCCGTCGGCTTTGGCATCGATTTCAAAAGGAAACGGCACATGAGTGAGCTGCTCTTCCCAGGTTTTCCCTGACCATTCCTAAAAAGTGACCATGTTACCGTAATCCTCGAAAATCTCGTACTTGTACAAATAGCGGTGTTGTGGTGAGCAAATCGTTGAGTAGGGTGAGCGCTGAGGCTGCGGGGATCACTTGGGGTTCGTGGGTGGACGAGGAGACGAGTAAATGGGAGGAATGGGCTGAACGGATTATGGTAGATGGGTAGATATGGGTTACGGTAGATGAATGGAATTGGCTGAAGATCACGGTCGATCTTTAGCGGCTGAACTTCTCACTTTGTGCTTTCACACACTTGGAGAACGATTTTGCAAGGTTAAGTGAGCGATCGTTTATAAGGATTGCTATAGCAAGGGGTACTGTATCAAAAAGCTACCTACGGTACTTGTTTATTAGAGTAACTAATGCATGTGGTGGATTATCCAGTTAAAAACTATTAAGACTATTAGCCAAGTTGTTCGTCTACCGTATAAGAATTTGAAAAAAAAAAGTGGCTACCTAGAAAAGTGGGCATCCGCGAGAGTCGATCACCTCGAGGCAAAAATATCGATGATGGACCACTCTGGCAAAGTGAGTAGATTGAGAGACGAAACCATGGAGAACACACCTGTAAGAAAGATTTGTATTTCCTTTTTGTAGCTTCACTTTTTACTATAAGCTAATTATTTCTTTGGTCGAGATCTCTTATCTCTCTTTTAAATAAGACTTCTAAATGGTAACAATATTGCTAACAACATTGTTAACATTGTTATTGTTATAACATTGTTAACAATGCTGTTAATCCAATGGTAACAATATTGTTTCTCCAAATTGCAGTAATGGTGAAAATTTAGCTCTGATGAGCAACGATAAATGAAGCACTTGAAGGGAATTTGAAACTTGTGACAAATCAATCAATTTTCCGAGAAAAAATTCGGAAAAAAGAGAAACAATACGAATTTTTTGACAAGGACAACAATGAAAATGAGCAACAAATAGAAAATGGACTGACGGGGATACGGTAGCAAAAAGGCAGCTGAAATTTTGGCTATCAAATTAGTTGTATTCTACATTTCCTTGGTATTTTAGCTTAATACTTTTTTTAACAAATTTGAGGGAAACCTTTTGGCGATGGCTATTCGTCAAAAAAACCTAAGAATCGAGGCTAAGGACAAGTTGAGTAATTAGACCGGGAAAGGCAGCTTAAAACTCACCTCCGGAATCGGTGGACCCAAAAATGGCAGAGAGGACAGCGGCAGGGTACATCCATCGGCTGACAATGGGGCCAAAGCGACGGCGAGACTGAAAATTGCCGTTTGATAGCCCGGCTACAGTAGGCCGGATATTGAAGCCAGAATTACAGACTGTTACCGTATCCTAGCCAGAATTCCAGACTGTTACCGTACCCTAGCCAGAATTCCAGACTGTTACCGTACCCTAGCCAGAATTCCAGACTTTTACCGTATTCTAGCCAGAATTCCAGACTATTACCGTTACAGTATGACTGTTTCCATTAGGCTTGTAATGAAAAAAATCTATCGGTACTCTTTGCCGTTGACAATTTAAGGTTTTTTGTGTTTTTCTCAGCATCAACTCTTCTATTTTGACTATTTTAATTAGCATTTGATGCAGAAGAAAATTGCGCATTGATTGATACCAAAATTAACTCAAAATGTAATTTCCATGGAAAGTTATGAGACAAAAGGTTAAGTCCTGCCGAGGTTTAGATTTTTAGCTAATAACTTTGCTTGGAAATTACATTTTGAGTTGATTTGGGTATCATTCAATGCGTAATTTTATTCTGCATCAAATGCTAATTAAAATAGTCAAAATCGAACGGTTTCTACTGAGAAAAACAGGAAAAACTTTACAGGATCGACAGAAATTTTCGTTACAAGTCTAGTTTCATCTACCTGTACGATTTGTGCAGAACACGTGTGCGACTTTGTGTATCCAACGAGAGAAGACTCTCCCCACGAACCATGTCCACCTAGAAATATCGATTTTCGGTGCATATTATTCTTTATGAACCTCATGTCCGGTGGCTTTAAGTCGTCGAAGCACATCGAGTAGGCCAATCCTGAATTAATAATTTATTAATTGAAAAATTCAGTTTTGTGATCTAAATCCACTCACGCATGCTGTGAATAGCGTGCCGCCTCGCCTTCACCAAAACGATTCACCTAAAATTAAGCCATTTATTCTAGACTCGAGTTTTCAAAGCTTACCCGATCCAGCAATTCCATGAAATCTTTGAGCTGTTCATCAGCTAATTTCCCCACCTCGAACAGGGTGACCGCATGGCCTAAAGATATTTCAGGGTTACTGTAGCTAATGCACGGGTTTTCTCTTGATAAATCGTACCTTTTAGCTGTGTGCTCAGATTTCCCATCATCAAGAAAGCGGTGAGAGTTGAGTCGAAAAGGACAGCCACTCGGCCGACACAACTACTCGTTTCGGTAGAGAGGGGACCCTGAAATGCTACTAATATTAAAATTGAAAAATAACATTAAAACGGCTTTTAAATGTATTAGATCTCTTAAAATGACTTAAAAAAGATGAGAAATTGAGCAATAAATACTTTTTATTTAGAGCAAACGATAGGTGAATTGATGAATTTTTTATTTTTTAACGGAGAAAAGACTTTCTAGACAGCCTAATACCTCCAGCGCATCCATACGAGAAAGCTAGCTTCACATATAAAACTGTCAACTATAAGTACAACTTTGTCTCGCCTAGATACACACAAAACTAATTGATCGCCTGTGGGAGTGGTAAAATGGAGCAAAAATGGACAAAATGGAGCAAAAATGAGCAAAAATGAGCAAAATGGAGCAAAATTCTTCCCCACCGGTGTCATTGAGTCCCTCGGTGAAACGGCTCGTTCCCTTGTCTCTTCATCGATCTCCTCCTCATCTCCTGGACCAGAAAGTGCCGCTGAGAGCTCACCGAGACCCGATAGAGACCCAGACATAAGTTCTTCTCTAAAAAGGTATCAAATTGATGCAATGCACTGAGCTGCTATAGAACCAAGCCGAAAATTTCTCACTGTGTATTTGAAGTGGTCATCGTGGGGGTTGTTGTGCTCCGGGTGGCCCAGGATGAGTGCAGACGAAGGCCTGAAAATTATCATAAGTTGGTTTTCTTGATACCCGGTTTAGTCTTTAGTCATCCTTAAACCTAGTCATCGACCTGAAAACCTTAAACCTAGTTATATTCTAGTGCCTGAACTGATAATAAGCTATATTCTAGCGCCAGGCTATGAGTCTGAAGCTTGTAAATTAGCCTGGGTCTTAGTCTGGGTCTGATTTTGGGGCGCAAGATTGATATGCACTTTGTTCATTTTGTCAATAGGTGTACAACGGAATATTTGAACTTTCAGCCTTCAATGGCTACTTTTTCAGGATTTCTTGCCAAAGCAGGATTCTCACTGTGTATTCTCATTCCAAAGCAGAAAAGCAGAAAAGCAGAATTTTCTAAGCTCTATCTTTTGATCTGAAAAACTCTTGAAAAAGTTGCTGTTGAAGTGGCCAAATCTCTTTTTTTCGTTGTACATCTATTAACAATCAGATCAAAAATGAACAGCTCTAATATTTGAGAAGATTTGAGCACTTTAGATTAAACCCTGGGACACGAGAAACTACAGGATTCCTCAAAATTATGGTGACGCAACTTCTTATTGAATTTTACATTGTTTACTGTACTATCCTTTCAACTTTTTTGTGATAATATTAAATAAATTGCTCATTGTTTAGATATAAAGTTAAAGAAAAGTTTCTTTACTGTCTTCATTAGCAAGAAAATACAACTGCTGATATTTTTTGAGTTTTGCAAGAGTGAAAACAAGTATTTCTCGAAGTTGTTGTTTCTTTTGAGACTTCTAAAAATCACTTTTCGAGTCGTTGGACAAAAAAACAGCATTTTTTAACGATTTTCTTTAAAATTTTCGTTAGAAACCAGTGTTAAAATTGTTTAGTCGCTCAAAAAATAGTTGTTTCCACTTTAAAACTATCAAAAAAAACTTTGGCGACTGTATTTTCTTGCTGCTGAAGTCTAACAATGGCTAATTTTGCTTCAACTTTATGTCTAAAAATGAGAAAAGTGAGTAATCGATCGATTAACTAAAAAGGTTGAAAAGATAAGGCAGAAAACAATACAAATTTATGGACAAAGTACAGGGACAAAATTATGGTGATTCTTGTTGTATTGTTATTGTATTGGTGTTGTCAATACAATCCTAATACAACAAGAATCACCATAATTTTGTCCCTGTACCTCGGTCAACTCACCCTCAATTCCGGTAACCCTTTTCCTCGCGAAGCCAAGTCGACAAAAGACGGAGATCGCATTTTTCACCAATTGCCCATCAATGTGCAACATTTCCGAGATCTGAGAAAATAGAATTTTAAAAATGCAGCCAATAGGAAAGCACCTCTTGTACCGTAGTTTGATCGTCGATTGCGACGAAAATTTTATACAACAGTGTCTCGAAGTAGTCACCGAGGACACGATTCATCACGAAACCGTCAAGAGGAGCGACTGGAATTGAGAATTTAACGGAAAATAGAAGAATTCTTAGTACCGTATACATAATCACAATCCTCCACCGGCACATCCAAATAGACTAAACCAGCGTTGAATAGATTTTGAATAATGAATAGATCCTGAGTGCCGGCTGTCTAAAATATGGATTGATTACCATAGCATGTAATCGTTTACCTGTGGTCCGTCATCAAGCAAGAGATCGACAAGAGCTCGTTCCAGTGTAGGCAGACTCTGAAAATGAGTTGAAGTCGAAAAATGAGTACTGTAGTTTGTTTTAGGTTTAAAAGTATACTACTGTACTGCATTTATTCACAATTCTCACCCTGACATCAGCTTCGAGAATATTCCCTGGACATACACGCCACCACGCATCGATTGTTAACTGAATTGATTGGGTACTATAAAAAAAGCCTTGGTTTAGATTAGACTTTAGGAAATTCCAACCCGAACCTAATTCCATCTTCGTTTTCTTGGCCGATTCATGACCGACTAATGGCCGACTAATGGCTGATTCATGACCGATTAATGGCCGATTCATGACCGATTAATGACCGATTCATGGCCGATTCATGGCTAATTGCTCTGAAGTTTTATTTACAGATAGACATTTTCAGCTCGTAGACAAAATTTCAGAGCAATCGGCCAAGAAACGGCCAAGAAAACGAAGGTGGAATTAGGTTTGGGTTGGAATTTTCCTATTTCTAGTCTAGTCTGGACCACAGTAGCAAATTATAGAAAACTCACGTTGACGGGTTTTGCGGTAACAACTCTCGAATCGGCTTATTTCGTCGGAAGAGGCGACGATTTGATCTGATAATTTTATATGCATGGTTTAATCCGGGCCAGGCCAGGCTAGTCCAGGGTATAAACCTGACCAGCATCAGGGCAGGAATGACTTCTGGTTATCCACTCTAATCCCAAAAACAAACTTGTTTTGATTCATGATATCGATGTACTGATTGCGGCCGATTCCCAGCAAACGCACCGCATCGGCGGCTGTGAAATTCGGCAACGAGTCGTACGATTTCTCCGAGACGATCATTTCCTGGAATTTGAGTGTTAGAATCTTTTGCGTAAAATGTATCTATCGTAGCCGATTAAGATTGAAACAAAACATAAAATATGCAAATTAAACCTCAAATGCTTATTGGGTAAATGCAAATAGATTTAATAAAGTGGCAGTTTAGCCAATTTAACCATTCTTTTTAAATCTATGACCGATTTTAACCGTGTTCTTCTTAGTTCTGCTTAGCGTTTTTGTTTATCTTCTTTTCTTTTCTCAATGTTGGTGCTCTTGCTTGATCTCCGCATAATCTTGTAGCCAAAAAGTGTCATCTAATTGCTATCTAAATACACAAGAAGTTGACAAATTTCGTTGATTTACCGTATATGCATGGATTCATTTTTATGATTTGTTTAAAAGCCAACATTCAATGCAACAGTCGATATCACTATAACAGAAATTGCACGAATAAGTAAAATTTTGGTTGATTAGTTGCATTTTGTTATGACTCAAGTAGTCTGTTTGCATTTAACATTCATTTTTTTGTTCTTATGGTTCATTTTGTTATGTTTCAAGTCCTAATAAACTTTAAAAAGAGAAAAAGCGAGAAATGATGAAGCATTTCATCTAAAGAAACATTTAGAAAGATCTAAAGAAACAGTAGAAAGACTACACAATTAGTATTTGAGGTTTAATTTGCATATCTAAGAGCGTTTCATGTTTTAATCTTAATCAGCTGAAAAATTACAAGAAAAGGTCAACGGGCTGAGCCGGTCAAAAGCTAGGCAACCTATACTTTAGACTTTAGACGCTTACAACTCCTGGCAGATTGTCATTTAGTAAAAACCGAATATATGTTCGGAATCAGCATAAAATTCTGCGTCGAATGGTATAGGTCGCATAGCATTTGACCGGTTCAGCCAATTGGCCTTCCCTTGTTAATCGGCTACATATCCACAAACGTACACAAAAAATGTTGATGTAGTACTGGAAAGGGGTCAATCGGAGCTCCTTGACGACGATATCGGATAAATGATACGGGAAGAGCATCACATGGCTTTCACTGTACTTCATCACAATGTCATAGTAGGTTTCCTCACTTTTCTTCACGTGGCGAACTGGAAATTGCTGCATTCATGGACTTTACAGCAAAAATCTCTCACCCAAATTCCCCTTGTATCGGAGCTGATTCCGGACCGAGTACTCCAGCACGAGTTTGTCGTATTCACGTTGCGATTTTCCAAGTAAAACCTAAAAATTTTCGATTTTTATCCATCTTTGAATGAGAGATTCATCTTTAGAGTGAATGTCACTCTAAAGAATCTAAAGAAAAAAGAAGGCTCACCTGCACATTTTCGGGCAACTTTGCCCACGGCACGTTGTCACGGATGAACTGTTCGATGTCCATTTTGTGAGATTTCCCGGTTGGAAAATCGAAAATCTCAATTTTATGACTTCCAGAACTTCTTATTGGAGTTGAAAGGTTAAAAGAAAAAGAACAAAGAAAAGGGGTAGTTATTTCCGCCAAATTTTTTGTGCAAAGTACATTTGCGGAATTTTTTTCCGCAAAAGAAATTTTGGGGGGGGGGGGGGGGGGGAAAGAGAAAAATCGACCATTTTCTGTAATTTGACTCCTTTTGTCTTTCAAATATTATTAAAATAATTGAAAAAGGGGCCATTCGCGCAACTTTTCAACACATTTTCAACGAAGGTCTTTCACACAACTTTTTTTAAACACTTTTTACAACTTTTCCCAAGTTTTTCACTATTTCGCTAGTAATTTTGAAGTTTAGTACTATACTTTTGAAGTACCGGCCCCAACTGCCCCCCGAAGTACCGCCCAAAAGTGTCCCCATTTCCATTTCAAGTGCTTAAATGGGCCCTCGACGCGAGAAGTGATCAACAAGAGAGTGCGAGCAGCGGAGCAACATCTACAGCCTTAATTAAACGAGCTACACCCAGTAGCTATCACCCAGTTAGCTAAAAGAGTTGGCAAAAAAGGAGCAAAGACAGCTTGGCCAGACGCAATAGACCTGACCCTTTTCGGTAAGAAAACATTTTCCATCAAGATTCTTCTTTCATGCTTTAAACTATGCATTTAGGTTCGAATTTCCGCCGCGAGGACACGTGCGAGCCGCAATCAAGTACAATCAAGGTGATCCACTTGCATACAAGATTTTCGCGCATGATGTGGGAATTGAATTACTATAACAGGTTTTTTTTTGGTTTTCATTTCGAAATGCATTTATTTTTTCGGAAACATTCTTGGGCAGCGGACTCGACTTTTGTCAGCTCTTTATTGTCGGGGCACAGTTATTAAGTTTTTTATCTTCTTTGAAACAAATTTTTTAGACTGACCAAATTTTTGTTCCATGTGTGTTCGCCTTTTTGAGCTCAAAAGATGCGTCAACTTACAATTATTTTTGATTACCTCTTAGGCCAAGGAGTCAATCCACCAATTAAATTAATGACAGGTTTTTGTGGTACCTTAAACGTTAATTTGTAATTTAAATTTTGAGCTTGGGATTTATGCGGGTTACAAAATGACCTATGGAGTCACTGAGCATCATTTTTGTTGCTTTCACTTCTTCCAAAATGTCCTGAAACGAATAAAGGTTTTTAGTTTTTAAATAAAAAAAATTATTTGTTTAAAAATTTGGATTCCAAAGCCTCGTTCAGACACCGTTCGGGAAAACGCATATCCAATCAATAATGGCTCTCGCTTTTATTGACCCAACTGAAGTTGTTGTCTACTTTGAAGAAGTAAAGAAATCAACTTTGCAAACGGCTGCTCCCCATTTGCAACGTGCAACAATGTTTATCAATCGTTTCAATCTTGCAATAGCCAATAATCTCACTCTTGGACAGAATTACCCGCAAAAGAAAACCACGGTAGCCCGTCAAAGGAAACGTTTTACTGCTGTTAGTAATGGACGCTTACCTGGTTGTGATCACGTTCAGCACTTGTCCCAGCTTCTTGTTTACATTAGAAAAGGCTAATTGTTCTTATCTTTTTCCGTTTTGTGGTTAATTATTTATTTATTTGAATAAATTTTAATAAAAAACAAAGCTTGTGATATTGGAAATAAAGCTGAGAAAAAAGCCAGACAAGGTGAAAAAGTGCTATGGAAGTTTTTAAGATGTTGGTAAAAGTTATGAAAAAAGTGCTTAAAAACGTTATCGAAAAACCTTTGTTAAAATGTGTTGAAAAGTTACGCAAATGCCCTCTTCGCGCAAAAAAAGTTGCGCAAACGACTCCCTTTGCGCGAAAAAAGCGCAAAAAATTTGGCGGAAAGTAACCACCCCACAAAAAAAGAAAAAGAAAGAAGTTGTCTTAGATGAAAAGCTTCTCATAAAGCTATTCAGTTATTCGACTGAATACGTGCAAACGCAACGCGCCAAAAGACGCCCGGATTTTGCGGTCGGTGTCATGAAACGAGCCACGTTCAAAAAAAAGCTTCACCACTCAAACTTCAAAATTTCTAGATTACTGCTTATGCGTTGTTTTTAATTTTTCCGTTAAGGTTAGAGCTAAAACTTGTTTAAGTAGTTAAAGTTTTCATTTCGCCACCCTTTAAAGCCCTTCACTTGGATATTGATTAGTTACGTTTTAACCCGGTTCTCTCCTCCGAACTGACAAAGTTGCCCGTTTTTCAAGCCTCCTTCTCGTACTCTCGAGCTAAAATCGATACTTTTAAACTTTATCCCCCTCCAAACACCAAGCAAAATTTTTTGAATGCTTTAAATGCACAGTGACATTTGCATTTGAATTGGCATGTATTAAATTTTTGAAATTTTCTGATTTTGGGGGGCAACGTAAAAAGTTAAAACAATTTAGATTGTGGCATTTAGCAAACTAGTAAGATAGATAGTAGACAAAAGCCTCGAGTCACGAGTCGACTCGGTGATTCGACTCGAATATCCGACAAAATTTTTGAAAAGTACCCAAATTCGTTAAGCTGTTCATTATTAACCGCGGTTTTTTCGTTTTGTTTTGTTTTGTTTCTTTGAATTCATCACTAATCTTTTTTAGAAGATCAACGATGGAAGAGCAGGAAGAAAGATGTGTCCTGCTGATCCAAGAAGCACACGAGAAAGTCGAAGCCGGTCAACTCGACGAGGGAATTGCGCGACTACTGCAAGCAGTCTCGATCGCGGAAAACGGAGAGCTCCGAGCGAGCCTTTATGCGGAGGTTGGTTTGGCTTTGATTTTGTTCGAGCAGTAAAGGTGTAAACTAACTGCAATCGTTAACTTGGTAGGGTCTTTCAATTGAAGTTCTAAATTGTTTATTTTAGTGCGCGAACTTTTACGAGATGAAGGCCAATGCTTCCAAGGACAAGACGGAGAAGCATGAAGCAATTCGAGAAGCGATGCGGATGCTGGAAATGGAAAAAGAGCTATACATCATTCTGAAAGTATAATTTTTTTTCTTTAGCAGAAACCAACTTTCTTTTTAGAACAACGCCAATCAAATGAAGACGCTCTACGTGCTGGGTGAATTGGCGGAAGTGAACGACTCATTGGAAGCGATTATCTACTATCAACAAGCTATCGACATTGCGAAGACGATTGAAAATAAGGTTTGTTTTAAGGCCAAAAATTGAAACTGCATTGAAACAGTTAAAAGTTTTCTATTAGGAAATGGAATGCTTGTCGCAGCGATCACTTGGCAATTTTCATCGACGAAAGGGAATGCACGTTAAGCGACAATTCGCCAATTTGGTAAGTTTCAATGTGTGAAAAGGGCTGATGTACGATGTTAAAATTTCAATAGTCTTTCTAGGTTACGTTAATGGGTTGATGGTTTTGCAACCACTTGCAAAGTTTTTCTTTAGCAATCTGTGCAATGCGAAGAAGGAAACCCAGCCGACGAGTTCTACAAAAAGGCGATCACCCACTTGGAGCAGGCGTTCACCATCGCCAAAGAAGAGCAATTCGAGGAGGAGATCGGATCGATCACTGGAGACTTGGCCGACTGCTATGCACAGCTGCGAGAGTACGAACGGGCAAAGATTCTCTTTACTGAGGTAAGTTTGAAGGATGTTGCAGGCTATCATCTTGGTACGGCTAATCAGAGTTAGTGACGAGATCTATGAGGCTTCGTGAAGTTAATACATACTATATTACTTGTTTAGCGTCTCCGAATGGCCGATGACATGAAAGACCGAGTGGCGATGAGACGGGCCTACGACTCCTTGGGAAACATCTGCTTGGCGAGCAGGGACTTTCGTGGCGCCATTCAGTGAGTTTCATTTTGAGCATTATATGTTGTGGTTATTTAGAAACTACCGGGTAGCGCTTGCGTTGGCAACTGAGTTGGGCGACAAAGTAGCAATGGGACGACACTACATGTCGTTGGCAAGCGCCTGTGCGGATGAAAACCAACTCGAAGAAGGTAAGCAACATTGATTTGCAATAATTATTTCCTTTAAGCCACCGACTACTACGTCAAGTCAATAAAAGAGAACAGGGAATGTGGAAATCTGTCAGGAGAATGCAAGGTAAACTTAACCCTTCAAATTTTTAATCGAATCTTTTAGGCGTACAAGGAGTTGGGGCGTTTGATGGTGACTGAAGGAGCTTTTCCACGAGCCGGCTACTTTTACGCAGTGAATAGGCGGTTGTCAAAAAAGGTAATGTTTTGAAAGGAGTTTGTAGGATGGGCAATGCTGCAAGAAGTTAAACTCTAGGTCTTTGAAAAGTAGCTACACTGAATTTTTTTTAATACATTTTTTTTTAGATTGGCGACAAGGAACAACAAAGTGCCGCCCATGAACAATTGCACGATTTGAAAGCGCAAAGAAAAGTCGATGTGGAAGAGGGCAAGCTCGTTTTGGATTCGTCGGCCGATCCCACTCCATACACAATAAACTTGTCCGAATCGCTTCGCTCACTATTTCTGGAAGATGTCGAGGCGGGAAAGTGAGTGCATTTTTTTGGTTGAATTTTATCCAATTTTATTTAGTTGTAACGATTTTTCTGCAAACATTTTCTCGGAGACGCAGTCTTTCAATCATTCGATGAGCAGCTTAGGAAATCAGGTAAAGTTCAAGAAGTAAAAAGGTGAATATGAATGTTTTTTTATTAGAATCATCGCCTCGTCCAACCACGACAAGCTGATCTCTTCGACTTAATCGAACAGATGTCATCTCGACTTGATGATCAACGCGTTGAAATGCCGTCAATTGGAGTTGTTGGACGTCCATCGCTTGTCTCCATCTCATCAGCACCAAATCAACTCGTACACAGGCGACAATCATCGGTATTAAAGCGAGTGAAAAGCTCCCTCTTCGGATCCAAGACGGCCTTGACTCCACAAATGAATAAGAAGAAAGGGTAGGTGCTTGTGGCAACGATACTTTACCTTTGTAATATAGCTTAATGCAATAAAGAATAACTTTTCCTTTTTAGATCACTTCTCTCCGTAAAATCGACAAAATCGCTGCGCGCCTTCTTCGACAGAAGTAAATCGCGGTCTTCACTCCGATCAGAGACAGGAAGCATGCCAATTCCAAAATTGGAACTAGAGATATCGAGAAGTGGATCGGGAAAAATGGATGGAGGTAAGTGATATTGAAAAAAGATAGAATAAATATTCTTTTTAGGTTTGTTCCGAGTGCCAGAAGTGCCGATGAGAGATGCCAATCGAAAGACGCCATCTTCATCAAAACGATTCGGCGACGGATCGGCCAGCAATCAAAACCGGTGGTCACCACAAAGCATTGGATCTTTTGCTAGGTAAGAACTTAAATTTATCATGACTTTGCTCTCTTGTGGACCTTTATAGTTACTTTTGTTTAGTCATGGCTCAAGCTTGGACAACGCGTCAATGCTTGAAGAAATTGAGGGTGAAGAGGCCGGAGAGCAACGAATACCATTTGCGACAAGCACTCCTGTTGCACCGCCTAGGAAAAACAAGTGTAAGTTTGAAACCTTAGTTAGTACTTTACATTTAAATGACTTGTAGGTTTAAAGCATTAGATGTCCATTCAACTTTCAATAAAACTTTTTCATTTAGTGAATCGAAGCACATCAGTACCTATGGCGAACATAGATGAAGTGGACGACATTGAGAACGAGCCACCAATTGGATCAGTGCCCGAAATCGATCTGAAAGACGGCGAGAAAAAGAAGAAACGAGCAATTCCATCATTTCCGCGCTTCTCGTTGACGAATCTCGGCTTTGGCAAGAAGAAATCGAGGGATGAACAAGCGTCACCACAACAACAATAGGCTTTATTTCGAGATCTTTTTGTGTGTTCTTTGTACTTCTGTGTCATTGTAGACCGTCTTTGTCCTTGCCACCATTGCTCATTTTCAGAAATCTCACTTGTTTGCTTTCTTTCTTGATTTCGTTTGCGTGGCTTTCTCATCATTCTTATGGGGCTTCCTTTGCGTATTTGTGTATACTCATCTCATTTCTAGCCTCCATTATTTTTGATCTGTGCCCAAAATTTTTGTCTTTATCTATTCATTAAAGTTTTGTTTGTATGAACGTTTTTATGTGTGGCGATCGATTTGGGTGTTCTCTTCGTCAATTTCTATGGTTTCAATAAACATATATTTTTGAAATGTATTTGCTCTACTGAAAGTGAAATGGTAGCTCCGAGAATCTTTGAAAAACTGGAAATTTGCGAGATGTTGTTGAAAATTTGGCTGAATTGTTTTGGAAAAAGTATCAATTTTTCTATTTTAGCCGAAATGGATCGACGTGGCTTTTGGGGAGAAGGGCCAAGGCCCGGGCCCGGGCCAGCCTTCCCACCAGGTCCACCAAACCCTTGGGGTCTACCCCCGCGGGACCCCCGATGGGACGATTTGGGCCGGTACCCGCAACAAGGCGAGTCACGCGGTGGGCCGATGATGGGTGGACATTCGTGGCGAAGGGGCGGACCACCACCCCCGCCCCCGGTGATGATGGGCAGAGGCAGGGCACGACCGTCACCCTGGGCACCAATGGGACCGCCGCCACCATATGCGAGGTTCGTTTTTGTCTGTAGAAAGTAAAATATTGATCACTAGATATAAACCTCTACCTAGACATTCGCCGTGGGAAGACTTGAATCCGTACCTGACATTTACTGTAAGGCTCATGAGTGCTTATATCGTTTAAAGTTGCGCCTCTAAATCCCTTTCAGTGCTCTTAAAGTAATTCGTATAATTCTTATCACGAAATTTAAGTCTTTCGTTTTAGGGGAGGATACGGCGTCTACGGCCATGGTGGACCAGTTTCGTCGTGGCGCTTCGATCGGTTGGTTTTTGGGTGACTAACTTGGTAGCTCGAAAAGATGAGACTCTTGAGATCCTTTCTTTTCAGAGAACATCGGAGCGGTCCGGATCGTTTCCAAGAATTTCGCACACATGACGCCTTCCGTCCATTTCTCGACCATCAACCAAACGATTGGAGTGTGGATTCGACCCATTCGTCAACGCCCAGCTCAGCAAATGCGGGACTCTCGCAATTGGATAGAGATTTGATGAATCGGTGAGTTTATAACTTTTGAGAACCAAAACTAGTAGCGATTTACCTTAATGAATTTTGTTAATTTTTTTCATTCAGATACACCCACTGTCAACCGCTCTTCACCGATTTCAGCTCGCATCAGAAAATTGACGTGCGTTTCGAGATTTCGGCGCGTTTCATCGAGATTTCATGGACCTCTCCTCATTTACCAGGTACTGTTTTAAGTGATCAATGTATTAAAAATTTCGACAAATTTGAATAATTAATTGTTACTTGTTCAGTGAATATGAAGTACGACTACTTGTTATCAGTTGATGGTGATCGGAATATTTACAATTTGGAATTCCCGTGGCACAAAACGAAACACTCGGTGAAGACGACACCGGGAGCCGTTTACAAGGTAAGCAAATGGAGAAGTTTTATCAAAATTTGCAGCTTTTTTTTAGTTCACGTTGAGTTGCAAGGCACACGATGGACGAATTTTGGCACAAACGAGTAAAGAAGTGAAAGCGGGTTGGTGATTTTGAATGGAAAAAACTTCTAAGTTCCAGAATGCGAACTTTAAGCTAAATTTATCTTTTTAGTCTTTTCAATGGATGAATTAAGGCGACTACACGCGAGGGCCGTCGATTTGAATGGAAATGATATGCACAGTTTTCGCTTTTTGTACAGGTAACGCTATTTTTTTGTCTTAAATTTTTCAATTTAGATGTAAACCACAATCATATTGGAACGATATCTACACGAATTGTCGCGGAATGATGGAACCGTATGCAAAAGATAACAATGGACAACCGTCGAATGCGATCAATGGAGCGATATCGGGTAAAATGATTCGGCTTTGGGATCTAACTACGGGCCTGTGGTTTCTTTCACCAATCTTTGAGCCACTCACTAACGTTGTGAGACAAACTATAGTCAGTCAAATTTACTCGCGGTTTACCATATTCATTTTTTCATTTCTAGGTCTTTTCTTCTCCGCTCGTCTTTTTCACGGCGAATTGCCTCCTAGTAGTCCATTCGGTGATCGACGATTGCGCGTTGAGGCACCATTTTTGCTTGACACAAGGAAACATACGTGAGTTTGACCAAGTAAAATGTATCAAAGATACAAATTTTTTTTGCCAAATAACAGTACTCAAAGATACAGAATAGACGTGTTTAGAACTTTCGCCAACGATTTTTTCAAGAAATAGTTACAGTGCGTAGAACGGATGAGAAAACCACGCCGCGTACACCTCGGTGACCAATTCAATTTCAATTTTAGAATGTATTTTGCCGATTTCTACTGCAATAATGCGCTCCACTATGTGACGATCGTGATTTGCGTTCGGGATTCGATGACAGATCGGTAAAAAAATAAGAGTTTGGTCTAATTTCGTTAATTTTCAGGTTTTGCGCCCCTCGTCTAATCCGTTTGAATCCGGAAACGAATCCGTTTGTGAAAATACAGGTTCGGAATGGGTAGCTTCAAGAATTTTTTATTTTAGTACTATCCGCCGAGCCGAAATTTGCCTGAAGGTGGACACGAGTATTTCATTAATAAGGTAAAACATGCAATGTTGGGCAATTGAACCGATTTCAGAACGTTTGGGTCGAGGTTTTCTACACGGAATCAATTGATATCAATGTACGACAACTCGATCATATACAGGCAACAGGTGGGAAGATTTTAGATGTTCAAATGGTAACAGACTGATAGTTTCAGTAAAATATATCTAAAGAAAGTTTTATCAAGGAAATTAAACAAGCCTAGGTTTTAAACCTTTTTCTATTTTCAGGAATGGGTACTTCTCGGATTGGCGGTTTACCTAATAACAAGTACTGCGAGTTGTGCAATTTGTATCCGTTGAGGAAACCGGGAAGTGGTGAAGTCAATGATGAGGTGAGGTTTAGGTAAAAACAACAGCAGATCAAAATATGACAGGTTCTTGGCATTGTAGAGCTCTAAAACATAAAACCAACTTTGTTAGCCAAAATTTATTCTTTAGAATGACGATTATTTCACCGAGCTCACACCGAGAGAATCGACGATCATGTTGTGTAACTCGTTGCATCAAATCAAAGTGAGTGAAGAGTTTGGTCCCTTTGGTATAAGCGATTTTAGGTAATTGAGTCGATTTTAGCATCCAAATTCCTCATTGAACCAAATCAGCTAGAATCTTGGGGAATAACATGTTATTGATCTTCATTTTTATGCATTATGGGATAAATTGGACAATTGAGCCGACTTATTGCTTCAAATACCTTAAACTAAATTAGATCATAAATCATAAATTTGATAGGAATAAAGTTCTGTTGACTCTTCTAAGATACTTTTTCCAGGATTCAATCGGCGAGGATTGGGCTGAGGTGGTGGGCACAGTGTGTCATCTCGTCGATCAAACATGCGAGCAAATGGAGAACGATTTTGGAGTGGCTGTGAGTGATTTTTGATTCAAGTATAAAATTTTTATCGTTTAGGATGCCGAGCAGCGCTCGATCGAACGTTTAAACAAAACCATGGAAGAAATGAGGGAACAAGTCGAGTTGTGCTCGGATATTGAGGTGAGTAGACATTTTTAGTTTGCTGTAAAATTGAATGCCGAGCCTTGTTGAATAAAATTCTAATTAAGGTACAAGCGATCGCCGACGATATTCAACAAATGGTCGAACGATTCAAGGAACAACGACAGGTATTTTCGAAAATTGAGGATACCCATTGATCGATCGTTCTGAATAAAACGAAACGAGCGATTCATTTTGCATTTTTACTAGCCTAAGCTTGTGAAAATCCCATCACCTTGTTCACCACATAACTTAAGTTACAGTGGGAAAAGGGTTTACGATTTTATTATTCAATCAATCCATCATTTTTTCCAGCAATTCCTCGACCTCCTCGCCGGGATGGATGCCACAAAGCGTTCCCTTCTCCCATCAACAACATCTCAACCACCATACCAACAACAGCAAAGATCAATCGCCTTGGCACATCGAAAACATCGGATTCCCGCTTGATTCAGTTATTATTTTCATGTATGCAAATCATTATTATTTTAGTCAATTGTATGTTTCATTTTGTAAAGATTTTTGTTTAACCGATTCTCTTGTCTAGCTCTGGTCTTTTTAGGGTTAAAATTTTACTAATTTATGTGATTGGTGCTTTTTGTTATTAATTTTTGTTGCTGGATGTAAATAAATCACTTGAGTTATCGCTTGAGATTTGGTGAAGAAAATCGCAAAATTCGATCGGTTTTTGTCTATCAAAGTTTGAAAAATTAGGCTGTTTATACAAAAGTGACCATTTTCGTTCCATAGCATGGAGTTTTCCTTCTATTTCCTCTAAAATTGGATAATTTTTGATTTCAAATACTCTAGAGAGTCAATGTCAATCCAAAATCCGTCTCCGATGAACGATTTCCTCAGATGGGCTGACGAGAAAGGAGTGAAAGCTGAGGGAATCGAGATAAAAGAGGCAGAGCCGGTGAGTGTCAATGAGATTTTACCCGGACAGAACGTGCTTTAAAATTTACATCTACATTCTGTTGGCTGAATGGCTTTAAATCTTGTGAGACACTTTAACTAAATTCATTTATTCCCCAAAAGTTGAAACGTTTTAGTAGGCATCATAGTCACATATGAGATTCAATAGGCTATTTCATTGAATGCCAAACTATTTTCTCTCTACAGGGTGCCGGCTTCGGTGTGTTCTCTCATCGTGTGCATCCACCCGAATCCCTTCTCATTCGTTTGCCCCATTCACTTCTCATCACCGCCGGATCGGTGGCCGATATCGGAAAATACAAGACGATCATCGAAATGAACAGGTAAACGAATATTGTTGTTAGACTTAAAATAACAAATTTCACTGAATATCCAAAAATTCCTTTGCTTTCAGCGAAAAACCGAAGCCTTTCGAACTCCTGACGCTATTCTTTTGTCTCGAGAATCCGGATGACTCTCCATATGGACCGTATCTTCGAATTTTGCCAAAAGTGTGTGATTTTCATGCAAAACTTTGTCAATTTAAGCCTAATTTAAGTCTTTCGACACCCCAATCGCGCAAGGGATTTCTTTTGACGTGAACGAGGTGGGATTTTGAAATTTCCAAGGAAAATATAAGTTTCCTCGATTTTCCAGATTCCTTTGATTACCCGCGGCTTTTATGAGCTACAATTACAAGAATTGGAAACCGTCTGGGAAAAAGTGTGTTGTATTTTCATTTAATATCTTTTAAAGCGTGCAAATTTTCGAGATTTTCCATCTCTTAGGTCCAAAATCTATGCAAAAACTCCGGATTCGAGGTCGAGCATGAGAAATTTCTCTGGGCATGGCATGTGGTGAATACTAGGTGAGAGTTGCGGGGAAATTTGAAGCAAAATGCAAATTATGGATGCACACAAGATATAGGTGTTGCTGATCAACCTTGGTGCTGAGTCCTAAAGCCACCAAAATGTTTTGCTAAAACTAAAAATAGTTTTCTAATGCATTTCTCTCTTTAGATGCATCTATTTGGAGAACCCGACACATCCATTGATCGATTCTTCAGACGGCGATACAATTGCAGTGATTCCTTACGTCGATATGCTCAATCATGACCCTGGGGCACAGGTTTTTTTTTGTGAAACTTTCTTGAAATGTGGCTCTTTTTAGGGATTTGCTTTTTATGACAAAGTGCGCAAAGAGTACTGTGTTCGAGCGACGAAAACCGTTGCTGATGAAGAACAAGTGAGGGTTTTTGAACCTACGAAGTCACTTAAATCGGTTATTTAAATCAGAAACGGGTTTGATCATCAACCTTTTTCGTGGAATTGCAATTGCGTATTACCCATTTTGTTCAGGTTTTCGTCTGCTATGGTCCACATGACAATGTTCGTTTATGGATCGAATACGGGTTCACGCTAAAAGAGAATCCTAATAGAAAAGTCGCCATTCCACAAGGTGAAATATGGAAAATTGCTTTAAATTGATCATTGAAATCTTGTTATTTCAGCTATTCATCAAATTTTATTTAGATCTACTCGTTGCGTTGGCGAAAAAAGTCGGAGTTGCCGTGTCCCCCGAAAACATTTCCACATTGAACGATGCCGGGCAACCAAGGTAGTTTAAGAATTTTGAGGTGAACCGTTTCCATCCGATTACTCCTTGTAAAAAGACACTTTTGCACTCTACCCAACAGTATCGATGAAAGAACTTTGTCGTTTAGTACAATCTACGCTTCTGATGAGGGTCCAAGCTGGTCACTGTCGACGAATGTGCAAATTTTGTTGATGTCAAGAGAGGAATTGTAAGGTTTTGCCTAATTGTAAGCTCATTTGATCACTCTTACAAAGTATCATGACCTTTTTTTAGAAAACGCTGGCGTGAGATCGTGTACGCCGAGGAAAATCCGAGACGGAGATCGAGAAGAAAAAGTGATGATGGAAATGAGGAGAATGAACGGCGATTGCGAGAAGAAAGAAGTATTTTGAGGGAAATGCTTCGCGAATTGGTGACATCAATACGACAAAGAGGGGAGAAAGTGAGTGATTTTGGTTTCGGATTTTCTGGAGAGGGGGCCATCGCTTCGCCTGTCGCAAGGTTAATTAAAATTTTGGGATCAGGAAAAGTTTAAAAAAGCTTAAAACATTTCTCAAACCCATTTCACTTCAATCATTTTCCCGGTTGATCCCCGAATCCGTTGGGCATGGGATGAACAAGTGGAAATCGTCGAGGAAGTGATCAAAGCGATCGACGAAATGATCGATAAATGAGGATTTTTGGCCAAAATATCCCAGATTGATTTAAGTACAATAGACCGAAGTTTAACTGAATTTGAACTTTGATCCTATTTTGACACTTGTACACACATTGTTGTAGATGTAGTTTAGCTCTAGCTCACGTTGCATTTGTTTGACGTGCTTACAGGTTTTTGCTGTTGTTTTTGAAGAGAATTTGCTCAAATAAACAGATTTGACATTGATTACATGAAAAACATAAAATAACATGTTTTTTGAAAAAAAAAAAGCAAAAATTCAAAAAGCAATAGGACTCGAAGCCGGCTATTTAATTGTTCAGTTATCCAGTTGCGTTCAGTGACCAGAAACTGTTTGAATATCAGCTTCTAACTGATCATTTGAAAAATCCACACCCAGCATTCTCATGAATGTTATCAATGTTTGTCTTTTCCTTTCCCTTTTCCCCAAATCCTCATCCATTTCCCCTATTGTCTTTTCACTCATTTCAGTCTATTCCCCCTTTCTTTTTCTCCAATGCTAATCTCATTTTCTTCTCCCCATCCATGTCCTTTCATTCCCATTCCAAAACTGAGGGTCTTTTTCAAAATGAAAACGGATCCACTCACCAATAAACAGTTGCTTTTTAAAATGCTAATTTAAAGTCTATGGTTGACAACTTTGAAATCGGCTCCGGCAGTTCGGCAACTTCTACATGTAGCCTTGATTCCAAATGGAGTGTTTTTCTTACCGTAGTCGAAGTGTGTTCCTCTTCTCTTGCAGCATCGACAAATCTCATCTTTTTCGTCTTTTCAGAGGAAAGATCCATTTGTCAGTCAAGTCAGTTCTTTTAAATGGTGAAAGGCAAAGAATTCCCTTTTGCCGAAAAATTGGTGTACTCTCATTCGAATTCCATCTGAAAAACCCTGGATTTGATTGGCTATAGCTCGAAGTTGATAGGTAATTCGGTTTTTAGCTTTGGCAAATAGGTTTTCTTGATTTTTTTACTCTTCAGAGAAAAGCAAAATCATCAATCTTTTCCAGAGCTTTACTTCCTTTTTTCCCAGGTAATCTCCGATGGGTCACTTTTGAGAGCAAATTCCACTTGTTTCTTCTTGAAATGATAAGAAAGTCTCGATTTTTTTTTAGACTCCTGATGTTAGAAGGAATGGATCAGTGTAGCGAGCTGTCCTTTTTGCTTGTACTTTGTGCTTGAAATTGCTTAAACGCAGCCCATCTGGGGCTTTGTAGCCGTAAGCTGGTTTCGCGAGGTTTTGACTGGAAACCGTTGCCCTTTACCACTGAGTTATCAATGCAAACTCAACAAATGAGCATTTTTGCTTTACAGTTTACAGATTTTTGGTTTTAGCTGCGAAACTGAGAGTTTAGCCTCCAAGCCTAAGAAAAAAACCAAAATTCCCCTCATAAAGCGCATTTTGAGCCATTTTTGACCATTTTTTTGTCCTTTTGACCTCATTTTGCTCAACATTATCTCAAAGAAATGGAGCCTTTTCTCTTTTTTTTCTTTTCTAAGGGTCATTCTGTCGGCTGAGATTTATGGGAATTCTGATGAGATCTCCTCTTTTTTTTTTAAAAATGAGTTAAGGATTTTACTATACAGTTCTGGGAGAGTTTTTTTGAAAAATCAGATCTTGAACGACAGTAATTAGTAACGACAGTAACGACAGTAACGACAGTAACGACAGTGTTCGATTCTCGTTGCCAAAAGTTTTACATTTTTTTGTCAATTGTCAAAAACGAGATGATTTTGTCATTTTTCATGATCACACTCGTTTCTAGTTTCATTTATTTATAACTCTTTCATTTCTTTTCCCACTTCCATCGATGAAAACGTGTTGAAGTGGTTGTGTCGGGAAATGGGGAAACAAAACAATAATATTCGTTGAAGAAAAGAAAAAAAAAGATGTCCATTTTATTGATTTCATTCCTTTTGCACACAAAAATTCGCTCTTTGATTTATTCCAAGGCATCAATTTGACGATTTTTCAGTAGATCTCAAATTTTTATCCAAAAAAAATTTTGTTTCCTTTGAATTTTATTTATTTTCTACATTCAATAGCTTTACTTAGCTTAGCTTAGCTTTATTTAGCTTTACTTGGCTTTACTTGGCTTTACTTGGCTTTACTTGGCTTTACTTGGCTTTACTTAGCTTATCTTCAGCTTAGCTTAGCTTTACTTAGCTTTACTTAGCTTAGCTTAGCTTTACTTAGTTTTACTTAGCTTTATTTAGCTTTATTTAGCTTTACTTAGCTTTACTTAGCTTTACTTAGCTTAGCTTAGCTTTACTTAGCTTAGCTTTACTTAACAATAGCTCAATAGCTTTGACATTTTTTGAAAACATTCTTTTTTCAAAGATTGAAAGAAAGCAATCAGACTTGGCTTCTCTCTTTGATGCCTCGTTAGTGAAATAGGGAGATTTTGTGGGGACTCTGGCATTCTTTTGGACTTTTGGAAAATTTTGTTGAACTTTGTTTTGAATTGATATTAGGGCTGGGTTTATTGGTTGATAGGTAGTTCAAATCCTGCTAAAGTAGCTGTTGAAAGATGGCAAAAAGCAGCACTTGGCCCACCAATGTTTCATATTTCATCCTTTTCTAGGATAGCTTGTGAAAATACGCAATAGCTTTTTAACGCAATAACGCAAGTTGAGCTCTTTTCATTTTTTCTAAAAAATTACGATGGTGACATACAGTCATGGAAAATGCTCAAAAATACTTGTGACAACTTTTTTATAACCTTTCGGAAAGGTTCCTAAATTTGCGTTTGAAAGTTGCTACCCAGGAGCCGCCAAGACTTTTGTCCATGACTGTAAGTGTAATTTTTTCTAGAAGTTTCTAGAATTTTCTAGTTTTTCTAGCTTTTTCTAGTTTTTCCAGACTTCTCTAAAAGTTGCGCTCCATTTTTCTGGTTTACTTGTTGATTTGTGCGCGTGCTATGTTTAAGCGTTAGATAAATTTATGCTATTATATTAATAGAATAGAATAGCTAATAGAATAGGTTTTAACAATTTGTGAAAGGTTTTTTAATCTTTTCTCGGTTTTTTACTGGTTCTACATTTAGTGATTGTTTGAATCTCTTGTTAAAATGTTTGAATTAATTAAATTTTTGAATCTTTGACTTTTTAAATTTAGGTTTAGTGGAAGGCTTTCTTAGAAAAGGTGAAAGGTAAATGAGCATCAATTTTCTTGGCATCAATTTTCTGCACTAATTGGACACACGTTTTGATCGATCGATTTCTTGTTTTGCAAATAAGGCTAGAAATCCAAAATATAGTCGGCGACGGGAGTCGAACCTGCGACCTTTGAGCCACGACCCACTTGCTGGACGAACACTCTACCAATGAGCTACGGCAGGGATAAGGTCCTATTCTGGTGTCAGTCTGACCCCAGAATAGGACCTTATCCCTTACGGCATGAAAAACATCATGAAACATGAGCGCCAGCATGGAAGGATAAATTTTACTAGTTGCCGTAGAATACAAAGTAACAGCTAGGGTAGGGCTACGGTATGTAATAGTAGGCTTACAGTAAGCCTGATGTTAGAAGGCTTACAGTAAGCCTGATGTTAGAAGGCTTACAGTAAGCCTGATCCAATACCTCGAGTACAGAGGTATTGGATTTAAATAAAATGACATGCAAATATAAAAATAGGATTACCTTGCTTTGTTACAGATCATCCACAAATCTGATGAACATACCGTACTCTTTGAAAAAAGTAGCCTTTTTCCCTGCCCCCAACTATTCACTAAAGTTTTCCTCTGTTCTCCAAAATATTCATCCATTCTTTTCCCTTTTATTTCCATATGCAAATCAGTTTATCGACTGCCCCTATTTTGTCGAATTCTTTTTCTTTTCTTTCTTTTTCTTTCCTTTTCTTTTCTTTTCTTTTCTTTTCTTTCTTTCTTTCCTTTTCTTTTCTTTTCTTTCCTTTTCTTTTCTTTCCTTTTCTTTTCTTTTCTTTCCTTTTCTTTTCTTTCCTTTTCCCCAATTTGTGGTTGTTTTCCACGGACGAGCGCCCGAAAAGGCCAATCTTTTTTGGTTTTTGAAGAAAAATGAATGAATAGAAATTTCCAGAAAATTTTTGACAATCTATAGATTCACCTTAAACATTAAACAGTAAAATACTGGAGTCTCTTTTGATTCTATTCCTAGGCTCTAAGCTAAGCCGAGGCTTTACTTACCTACCGTACTCCGGCTGCCATTCCTGGTAGTGCATTTCAAGTCTTGCGCCGCACCCTTTTTTGCGATTCCACAAAAACTATTTTAGCTAACGTCCTGGTTTCTTTTTATTAGAAAGAGCGTAGCCGAAAACCCTAAGAAACACTCCAAAAGGGCTACAGTAACTTTCAAAAAGTTTAGGAATAACGAATAAATTTTAACCGTTTTAAGTCTTGAGCCACATCTTGCTGAATTTTGTTTTGTTCGTTACGATACATTACGATCAAATCGATGCGTTTTATTCGAGGAGTTAGCTTCAGGTTTGAGTCTATTCGTCTAGGAACAGAAAGATCTTTTTTGAAAATATCGACGAATCATCCGATCGTCGCGACCCAAAATACGTCCAATTTCTCTGATCGATTTCTTGTTTTGCAAGTGCGTATCGATTTGTCCTTTGTAGTCTATCAGCTGATTAGCTGGAGCTGGAGCTGGAGCTGGAGCTATTGTACCTAAAATTAATATAAGTAAACATAAGAAGCAACAAAAAATAATCTAAAATGAATCTAAAACTGCGGCTCAAGACTTGAAACACTTAATTTATTCGTTATTCTTAACCTTTTTAAAGCTACTGTAGCCCTTATGGAGTGTTTTTAGGGTTTTCGGCTACGCTCTTTCTAATAAAAAAGAA